AGCATCAGCATAAGATTCATAACAGTTACAATCACCAAAAGAGAGGCGCATGCACCCCCATTTGAACATACATAATCTTTTGAATATTGAATTTGGAAGATGCCATATATGTCACACTCTCTGCAGCATCCATTTGCTTTCACTGGATCCATAAATGTAATGATAAAGATTTGAATTGATAAGCCTGTTGAATATGATAATAATAAATTGTCAAAAGAATAATATGTTAAGGGGTAATTTTGTCAGAAAAATTACTTTAAAAAATCACTTAAACGGACATAAGTTAAAAACACCCCCTTGGGATAGTCAAAGGAGACTTTTTTGCCAAAAATATTCATAATGGAGGTTTTTTGCAACAGGGTAATAATTAAGGGTTTTTTTTTTTTTTTTTTTTTTTGGTTGCAATTTGCCCATTAGAAATTGAATATTTATAGGTTATTCATTTTCTCTTTCCTCACAAATTGGACTGATAGAAAAACATTCCTCCTTATTTCCTCCATTTATTCCCTTTCCTCCAATCAAACACGAAAAGCTTTATCCATCTTTCCAACCAAACATGGCATAAAGTTTTTTTTTTTTTTGGGAAATTTAAGCAACTAATATGGCATAAAGTTTGTTAAAGAGTTAATTTTCATAGATGAAATAAAATCTGAATGAGAGCATATTATAACTTTTATTATGTAGAATTTTGGGGCATTGTTTCTTGTAGTGGTAAAAGCTCGAACTTTCACAATAACTTTGTGCAAATAATGTCAAATGTCAAGGCCTTATTTGACAATCATTTTCACTTCGTGGATTTTTTAATTATTTTTTTGGCAGATGGTATATTATAACGAAGTAAAATACGAAAATGTGTTTGATAACTTTTGCTGCGATTTGAATAATATTGTATTTATAGCGTAAAAAAAAAAAAAAAAAAAAAAAAAAAAAAAAAAAACTCTTAATGACCTTTTCCACTAGCTATTTTATTTTTAAAATTTGCAACACATTTTTTACCAAACACATTTTCCTCCGTTTGCTTCCAAATATCTTGTAATAAATTTTATTTTGTCAAATATTTATCCATTCACTATTAAACACCCTTCACAATAAAAAAATTGTTTCCGTTTTAAATAAAAATAAAAATGTAAAACATTTCCGATGGTGAAATAGCCCCTTAGTGTCTGCTTCCACGATCTCACTTAATAATATCATTTCTTTTCTTTTAAAAACTAAAAATAAGATAAGAGATAATGGGTGGGCGTTTGCTCATTTACTTAGAAGCTCAAGCTATTATTGGGTAATGCTTGTTCTACTTGTAACATTCTCTCCCACTTAAACCTTTCGCGCGATGCCCTCGTTGTGGTCGAGCCACCTTGTCTACCCGGGTCTAGACCCGGACGCTCTCTGGACCGGGTGCTTGACGTGATACCGGATTAAAGACTGAGTTTGGTTCTGATACCAACTGTAATGGTTAGGCGCTTGCCCATTTACCCAAAAATTCTAACTATTAGGTAGTATTGCATACCTACTTATTTATACATACTTCAACTCCTTCCAAATTTGATATGAGAAAAGCCCCACTTATAACGTCTAGCCATAAGGTAAGAGGAGCAAGCCATGGCTAGATGTATATAATTGATTGGTGAGATATATATATATGGCTTTATACCAAAAATCACTCAAACCAATTGGAATAAAATCAATCAGAATGAAAACTACGCGTGATTGTTCTATGTGAAACACTTTTTAGGCTGGGTGAAGATGAAAGGAGGACTTTAGCAATGCAGGTTGACTAGTGTAGGGTGCCAGTTGGAATTAGGTTGGAAAGATGAGAGCAGACAGCTTGCTTAGTTGAAAATAGCCCAACTTAGAGTTGGATTTTGATAACCTTGCTTTCAAACTGGTCTCACCCCACTTTTCGTACTATCTGAAAAAAGTTCCAAGAACTATAGCTTCATAACGCGTCTACCATATTTTATTATCTAACTAACCAATGTCAGAATTAGTTTTCAACTTTGAAACACGTGTACGGATTGTAATTAAAGAAGAAATAAATAGATTTCATGGCTAGTTTAAGTGTGGTGGAATAGAATATGAATGGACGTAGAAATTGAATGATAATGAAATGAAATGGTTATTCATTTTGTTTAAAGGTGGAATAATTTTGATAGAATGACCATTCTCAAAAAATAGAAATGATATTTTTAACTTTAAAATTGATATCAAACACAAAAATGAAAAAAAACCTATTCCATTCCACTATTTTTTATTTTTTTTTTCACTGCACCAAACTAAATCTTAATGAAAATATAAGTTGCAGATGAAGGGATTGTTACGCAAATATGTCCCATTTTTTACACTGCCTGTGTTAATTTAACACGTCACATAACACGCGCTCCCCTCACGAAGAGACTTTCTTACTAGTTGTCCCGGCTGGGTGGGGGTAGTTTTGGCAGAATTTGTTATTTATTTATTTATTTTTCTAATTAAATAAACAGTATAGTTAGTGGGGATGTTTTGTTTTGTAAAACACCTATGTTTTTGTTTAAAAAAGAATTTTTATTTTTATTTTTATTTTTGAAAGCTAAATGGGGATTTTCCTTCCTCTCGAATTTTTTATTTATTTTTCTAATTAAATTAACAGTATAGTTAGTCGGGATGTTTTGTTTTGTAAAACACCTACATTTTTGTTTAAAAAAGAATTTTTATTTTTATTTTTTATTTTTGAAAGCTAAATGGGGAGTTTCCTTTGGCTCGAATTTGAATATTGAAAAGGTAGAAAGGTGATAAATACACTCCACTTATTTAAAGACTCATTTTATTTTTAATGTGAAATGATATTATTAATTTTAATTTAATTCATGAGAATTAAGTATAAGAGGCATTTATGTCATTTGATTAAGGAAAAAAAAGGTGCATTTCTAAATAATAAAAAAAGTGAAGTGCATTTATTATTTCCCTAGTTTTAGAATTAAAAACTTCAAATTTTAAAATCCAGCCTAATTGGTCTAAGACTTGACTTAATTTTTTTTTATTGTGTTTTCACATGAAAAAATTATTTTAAAATTATATACAATGTAGTACAAAATAATATTAGAATACATAGATTCCCTTACAAGTTTGGTATTGGACTCTTATGTACCTTTTGGATTTGGGATAATGTTTAATAGATTCTTTAAAAATTAAAATAGATTTCTTTACAATATTATGACTTTAATCTAGAATCTCGGGTTGACATGGCTAAAAAAATATATATAATGATGTGAAAGAAAGTAAACATTACTAGTGGGTCGTTAAGCCAATGATATAAAACATCCTTATGTTCAAGAGAGGGAGAAATTCGAACCAAGTACCTCCAATGTGCGTATATATAAGTACTTACCTAATAAAAAAAGAAATATATATATTCGCTTTAAACGAGTCATTCAAAAAAAATTTCCCAACAAAACACTCACTTTTTTAAGACCAAAGCTAACACACTATGGTAAAATAAAAACAAAAGCAAAAACAAAAAGCTTTTTTTCATTTTAAATAAAGAAGTTTATATATATATATATATATATATATATATATATATAATGCGAAAAGAAAATTTATCTCTTATCTTCCCTAAGATAATTTAAAAATTATTAGAAGATGATATTCCCACTTTTTTCTCCATTTCGACAGTATTTATTCTTTTATAAAATAAAATGACGCAATCACCTTTTAAACACACTTAGAGCATCTCTGATCGATACATCAAATCTTTCGTGGCATTTGCAAGAATTATTTTTTGACATCAAGAACTCCTTCAACCGATACCTCAAAATGCCTACTTGGCATACCATCAAATATGTCAAATTTAGCATATCAAAAAGTTTTACGTCAAATAAAATTTTCTCATTATTTTAATCTAGATCTCACAAATAATTCAAATTTGGCATATTGAATATCTCCACCCGAAACTTCAAATATTAATAAATTTGACATATTGATTGGAGAATGCTAAAATGCCATATGTCAATTTATCACATCATATCTCAAATAAAATTGAGGTATGAAATTTGAAGTATCAATTGTAGATACTCTTACATTTTATAATTATATATGTAGGGACGGATCTACTAGGCATTCGCCCGCACTGAAATATTTTATTATTATATTTTATATCCCTGAATTTATACTTTTTGGCATCTTTTGAAGTTCCTGTTATTGGCATATTCAGTGATTGCTAGGGCCTTTTCTTTGCACACCAATTATACATTTGATCCTTAGAATCCACTGCAAAAACAAACGTCGTTTTCAGAGGTATGCTTCTAAGTTTTTGGTGTGGTTGCGCCTATATTTGGAGCTATTGATTTTTGCTGCGAGTTTTGTTTGTGCATATGTATGGTCTCTTATAACTATATCTATTCTAGTTATTTCGGTATAGCATTGCTTTTTGTATCTAAGAAATGATAAGCTTTTTTTTTTTTTTTTTTGGTAGTTTTGTGCTATTAACATGTTGGGTACTGTCTTTTTATTTTTTAATTAATTAATTAATTTATTTTTCGAGCACTCTTATACCATCTAGTTCATACCAAATAAAAGACAACATCTATGACTTCTCCAATCAAATATTCTTCAAAAATGTTCCTTTGCGATGGACACTTGTTGAAGATCTTAGAACCTTTTATTTAAAGCCCTTCAATTTTTTTTTTTTTACTTTTTGTTATATTTAATTTGTGTGTGTCATGTTTTAGAATATATTTCTAGATTTTGAATTTGTTTATTCAATTCTCTTCTGTTCTGGATTTATTATGGCAATGCATGGGCTAACTAACAACACCAGGAGGGATTGCAAAGGTATCAAAGAAATTTGAAGAAAAGTAAAAGTGAAAGGAAATGAAGAATTGGAGACAGATTCAGAAAAGGCGATATTTTTATTTTTTATTTTTTATTTAAAAATCAAACAGAAAAGGCGAATTTTAAGGGGTCATTTTGTAACATGGCATAATTTATTTTTATTTATTTATAAATAAATAAAACTAAATAAAAAATAATTAAGGAGCCAGTTCCAAGTATCCAAGCGGGAGCATGAAGTGCAATCTGATATTAGAAATATTTGCTGAAAAGATTTAGCGTTCATCAAAGAAAATTATATTATTTCCCAGTAAAAAAAAAAATCCCTATTGACAAAGAAAAAGGCACACTCACGAAAGAAAAGCAAGCTTTGTTTAAGTCATTTTCTGGAATAATCTCCAAATGGAATATAAAATGGCAAACAGAAAGGATAAGAACCAAAGTTGTTTGCCAGTAGATAATTTCCGACTGATAATCCAAGCTCTCTCTTCTTTCTACGTACTGATCAAAAGATTAGTTCCACCTCAGTTGGGTTGAGTCAGAGTAATCATTCAAAGAGGTAGAAAACGAGATTTGTAAAAAACCATATAGATTGAGTCAGGGTGAATGCTTTAGCTTCAAAAGGTAGAGAAAGGAACTTACTACCGAAAAGGTAAAAGAGAAGCAATGTCAAAAAAAAGATCCCATAAAAATTCAGAGACCCAATATCACAAGGGCCATTAGGATCCAAAATAGTAGTTCTAAATCGGACTATTTACCATAAGAGTACTAGAAACAATAAAATGAGAAATTCCAGTTTCAATGCTTTAATCAACCTCCTCGATCTTGGGCCCAGCACCACTTGCACTAGCTGGAGGAGCATCATCCTCCATGGAACCACCCATGTCTGCACCAGCACCTTGGTACATTTTTGCAATAATAGGGTTGCAAATGCCCTCGAGTTCCTTCATCTTGTCCTCGAACTCATCAGCTTCTGCAAGTTGGTTGCTGTCAAGCCAATTAATGGCCTCATCAATTGCATCCTCAATCTTCTTCTTGTCAGCTGGGTTGAGCTTAGAACCAATCTTTTCATCCTTCACTGTGTTCCTCATGTTATAGGCGTAGTTCTCAAGCGCATTCTTGGCCTCCACTTTCTTTTTGTGTTCCTCATCCTCTGCCTTGTACTTCTCTGCTTCCTGGACCAGCTTCTCAATTTCCTCCTTCGATAGCCTGCCCTTGTCATTGGTGATTGTGATTTTGTTTTTCTGCCCTGTTGTTTTGTCCTCGGCAGAGACATTCAATATACCGTTAGCATCAATATCAAAGCAGACAGTGATTTGAGGCACACCCCTGGGGGCTGGAGGGATGCCCGAAAGCTCGAATTTACCCAACAAGTTATTGTCCCTTGTTCTCGTCCTCTCTCCCTCGTATACCTGAATCAGCACACCAGGTTGGTTATCAGAGTAGGTAGAGAATATCTGTTCCTTCTTGGTGGGAATGGTGGTATTCCTTGGGATTAAAACAGTCATGACTCCTCCAGCAGTTTCCAACCCAAGGGAGAGAGGAGTAACGTCTAACAGCAACAAGTCCTGAACCTTTTCGTTGCCCTCCCCACTCAGAATGGCAGCTTGAACAGCAGCACCATAGGCGACTGCCTCATCAGGGTTGATGCTCTTGCACAGCTCCTTTCCGTTAAAGAAGTCCTGCAACAGTTGCTGTACCTTTGGAATTCTGGTAGATCCACCAACAAGAACAACATCATGTACAGTGCTCTTGTCCATCTTGGCATCTCTCAGACATTTTTCGACAGGCTCCATACACTTCCTGAAGAGATCCATATTCAGCTCCTCAAACCTAGCGCGAGTTATGGTGGAGTAAAAGTCGACGCCCTCAAATAGAGAATCAATTTCAATGGTGGTCTGCGCGGTGGAAGAGAGAGTCCTCTTTGCCCTCTCACAAGAGGTCCTCAGTCTCCTCAGTGCTCTGGGGTTACCACTGATGTCCTTCTTGTGCTTCCTCTTAAACTCCTGAACAAAATGGTTCACCATTCTGTTATCAAAATCCTCTCCACCAAGATGAGTATCTCCAGCTGTAGATTTCACCTCAAAAATACCCTCCTCGATGGTGAGAATGGAAACATCAAAAGTTCCACCACCAAGATCAAAGATAAGGACGTTCTTCTCCCCAACACTGGTAGCCTTTTTGTCAAGACCATATGCAATGGCAGCAGCTGTTGGCTCATTGATAATGCGCATGACATTGAGTCCAGAAATGACACCAGCATCCTTGGTAGCCTGGCGCTGTGAGTCATTGAAGTAAGCAGGAACAGTGACAACGGCATTCTTCACAATTGATCCAAGGTATGCCTCTGCAATCTCCTTCATCTTGGTAAGAATCATAGAGGATATTTCCTCAGCAGCAAACTGCTTTTCCTCAGCCTTGTAGTTTACAACAATCATTGGCTTGTCACCAGGACCAGGAATGACTTTGAAGGGCCACAACTTGATATCACTCTGAACAGGGGCATCACTAAATCTCCTCCCAATGAGACGTTTTGCATCTGAAAATATTAGATACAAAAGCATGAGCACACTTGTAAAGTTGAAAAAAACAAGCTAACTATTCAATGAAAAGCATGCCTCAAGAAAATAGAAATTACAGAATACTATCGTAACATGAAATATGCTAGAATGAGAACATAACACATATAAGCCCCGGATACAAATATGCTAGATTTCACCATCACAATGAAATCAACTAATCGATATAGAAATCATGAAGTTGCAAGAATTTTACTGCACTTAAAGGTACAATACTGTCCGCATTATAAAACAATATGTATTGCTATGCTGAATTAGTCATTGCAACCAAGTCAGTATTGGACCTTGCACGATTCAAACCATGTGAACAACAATATGCACTAGTAGTTTCGATAAGTAACATTATCTAAACCATGAACAACAATATGCATGCACTCGTGGTTTGATAAGTAACATTATCAAAAGCTCTCTAATTGGTCATTGCAACAAAGTCAGTACTGGACCTTGCACATTGATCACACCACGTGAACACAACATGAACTATTTGACCCGATGCCTTTCCATTATGTAAAGATTTAAGTGATTAGAAATATTGCATGTATTTCCATCTCAGACACCTCGCTCAAGGGTGAAAGAAAGAAAGCCCAACAGAAAGGGCCTACCATTTACAAAGGCACAGGGAGGGTAAAAAATAAAAAAAGCGCTAACTTGATTGTGTTTGAATGAGTAATTTAAAGTTGCAAAAACCACAATTTCACAGGAAATAATCCATAAGATCAAACCTCACCAAATATATTACTTTAATGGAACTTTAATGCTATGATATGTTTCAATAAAGAAAAAAAAAAAAAAAAAAAGATTACCAAGAATTTCACCAAAAACCAATATATTTGTTGGCTGACCTGACTATATATTAGTTCTACTTGAATACCAAAAAAGAAAAAATAAACACCAAATTATGGTCAATCAAAAGGTTGACACAGCCCATATCCAAATTATCATCTATGCAGAAAGCCATAAAATGCAAACTGTTGCATGAGACATAATTAAGTATGCCCAAGAGAATTGAATCCTTATAATACATTGCCTCAATATAGTAAAATTATATATATATATATATATATAGTAAAATTCTTTGCGCAGAAAATAAAGATCTTCAGACACACATTCGATCAGATCAAGCTCGACTCAACCAAATTGGATTAGCACAATTTCACTGATTTAGTAATAGTATAAACTAACTTTGAAAAAAAAAAAAAAAAAAAAAATACCACGAACCACAATAAATATCACGATATATAAGCAACTGAGTTAAATTGAGAGAAATCTTTACAGATCAAAGCTACATTAGTCTTTATTTATATAGAGTATAAGTTTATATTTCAAGATTTGAGATAAAAAAAGGAAAGTAGATTGGTGTAGAGAGCTAACCGAAGACGGTGTTTATGGGGTTCATGGCGACCTGGTTCTTCGCAGCATCGCCGATCAAACGCTCAGTATCAGTGAAAGCGACGTAAGACGGAGTCGTCCTGTTGCCTTGATCGTTGGCTATGATCTCAACACGATCGTGTTGCCAAACACCGACGCACGAGTATGTCGTTCCGAGATCGATTCCGATCGCCGGACCTTCACCTTTTCCAGCCATTGTTTGATCTTAGCTACGAATCAGCGGAAAATTAAACAAAGATTCAAAGAGAGCGGCTGTGTGACGAAAGATTAGGGTTAGGGTTAGTGAGGTAGAGAGATTTCAGAGACTAGAGATGAAGGCAGAGTGAGAGAAGGAATGGTTTATATTGGCCTTCCGTACGTCCTTTTCAGGTTCCAGAATGTTCCTCCAACGGTTTGGTGAAAGATTTACGTGCTCGACGGTTTGAGATTCTATTTTGTCTCGCTGCATGACTAGGTCTTTGCGGGCCATTGTAACGGGCCAGCCCACGTAGTCAAAAACGTCGGCCCAATCGCAGTCTATGCTGAGTCCGGGCCTAAATTGTCCAACTCAAGCTTGGTCTTCAACAGCAATAATGGTTAATTCAGTTCCATTAAATTAATTTTACTATCACAATACATTCACAATTAAAAATCAAATAGATTTACCATATAAAACTAATATGTAACGAAATTATTAAAATTGATTTTAAATTTTTTAATAAATTTGATTTAGTAACAAGATTGTTATAAAAATTTGATCACACTCCAATCAGGGTTCAATAAGGGCTGGGTATTCTGGAGAGAGCTTAATCTTAGAGACGTGTCCAAGCCTTTAATTGATAGTGGGCTGTCTGGCAGGCGTCTATGTCCCTTTCAGAATCAGCGTGTAGTTAAGGCTGACCAGGACCTACATATGACGTATGAAAAGTGAAAACCAGAGTCTATTCCCTTTTCTTCTTTGTATTATATTACTTATATTTGTTCCATAGTTCGTCGTATTTTCGATATGCGATTCTTTTTAAAATTCAATATATGACTCGTATTGATTAATTTACACTGATTTTGTCCGAATTTATTATACCGCGACCGATATTTCGAACCATGATTTGTTCCTATCAATATGTTCGGTAGTGGTAAATTATATAAGGTATTCTAAAATATCGAACATCGCTATGATGGACAAAAATGAATAACAGATAAATTTCAAAGTTGTAAATAGGGGGCTTCATTAATGAACGTCCAACAAGAAGTGATCAAAGCTTAGAGACTGCACCTTTGGTACAATTTTGCACTTATATGGAACAGATCGAATGGCATGTAAAAAATTGGGTATCGTGTGCAACGTACACTTTGGGCTTAATTGTTGGTGTAACAATAAATAGGGGGAGGGGGTACGTAGTAAAAAGCTTAGTTTTGTGGCACAAAAAGTGATGGCGTGGGGCTTACGGATATGGAATCTATTTGATGTCGGATAGCATGTGCAATTATTATCAAAAAGTCAATAGTATACCACCAGTCCACTTTTTTTAAGTAAATTATCTGTGACACACATCTTACATGGTGGCTCCATCAACTGGCAGCCCGCGCGGGAATCATGTTTCTTTTTGTTGACCCACATTATCTCCAGTACATATCACTACTACTGTATCTTACCCTCATCCAGAAATTTGTATTCAGGTAGATAAATCCAAATTAATCAAGATTGTCTATTAGAGTATTTGGTCACAATAATACTGTCCTTTCAAAATATAGCATTACTCCTTAGAGTATCTTCAATGACATTTTAAATGTACTCTTAAACTCAAAATATAATAGGCTAATGAAAATAAGGTATTTTAATAATTTCTTAAAAGATTTCTCATATTTTGAGATTTTTAAATATTTTCTCAAATTCAAATGACCTCTCAAACTCAAAATATAATAAGTAGATGAAAATAGGCACTCCAATGGGCTCTCTAAAAAAACTTCTCATATTTTGAGATTGTCAAAAGTTGCTAAAATGAAAAATAAGGTACTCTAATGAGCTCTCAAAATATGGAATGGTTGTTGCGTCAAAAATTAGCATTTTGAATAAAATGCACCATTGGAGCAGAATTGCAAAAATATAACATTTTGATACTGTATCTCCTCTCAAAATATAAATTTGGTATGGAAATATAGCATTTTGCATTGGAAATGCTCTCTCTCAAATGGTCTATCAAACTCAAAATATACCAAATTGATGAAAATAATACACTCTAATGGTCTCTCAAAAAACCTCTCATATTTTGATATTGTTAAAAGTATTGCCAAATTTAGCAACTCAAATGACCTCTCAAACTCAAAATATAGCAAGTGGATGAAAATAAGGCACTCCAATGGACTCTTAAAACATAGAATGGTTGTTATATAAAAAAATAACATTTTGGATGAAATGCACCATTGGAATATAATTGTAAAAATATAATATCTTGACACTATAACTCTTCTCAAAATATAAATTTGGCATGAAAATATAGCATTTTGCATTAGAGATGCTCTAAGGTGTGTTAGGTTGTATATGTAATTGAAGTATTGAAATTAAAATTTGTGAAATTTTAGAAAAACAATTAAGAAAATTGAATTAAATTTTTTTTTTTCAAATTATACCAATTTCAATTTCAATTTTAAAATTTTAATTTTATGCAGCCAAACACACCCTTAAAATAGTGATATTGGCATTGCAAAATAGTACTCTAACACTCCATTACCATTCTCAATAAAGTAAAATGTCAAAAAAAATCTTGTTAAGCTTTAATAGAATTCTACCAAGTTGTCTCACTTTTCTCTCCCTCTTTCCTGATCCCCATCCTTCTTGGCAAACCTCTATAACTTTTATTATATATTTTTTTGCCCTTCCGGTCGACAATATCTGGTTCCTCTCCTACGGAGTCTTGTTTCTCTTTATCTTATTTTTTAAAAAATTAAATAAATAAAAGGAACTTGTTCATTTAACACTGATTAATTTGTTAGTGTGAAATGGTGGAAAGACTAAACTTGACAAAGATGTAAGCCAAAATTTTATAATTTTTTTTCATATCTTTTCTTTAACCTATATTATCCTATCGTCATAAAAAATTTAGAATTCCATTTAGTTAATAAAATTTCAAATAAGAAAATATCAATGAAAATAAAGCTACAAGATTTTAATTGTTGAGAGGAAAAAAGTTGCAAAATCTTTGGTATGCTCTTTAAAACTTGAAAAGATAAGAGAGTTAGATGAGGAATCAGATTGTCGAAAAAATAAGAACTCCAGAGATTTGAGATGAAGAATGGGAGAAAGGATAGAGAAGTGAAATGCCTTGAGAAAAAAACAAAAAACAAAACAAAAAAAAAAAAACTTGAAAGAGAATTTTTTGAAAATTTTATTTTAGGTATGGAGTCTTAGAGTATTATTTTGGAGTGCCAATATCACTGCTCCATCTTAGAGAAATTGTTAAATGATTCTGGATTACATGGTCCAGTTCAATCCAACCTTACATCCAGGGACGGATTTAGAAATTCATATGAGGGGGGACAAATTTATATAAAGAGGTTTTTTCATAATTTTAGTACGGGCAATTTTAAAATTTTATAATTATAAATACAAAAAATTATAAATCTAGAAGTGTAAAATGTAATAATAAAATTTTCCAGTGGAGACGGATATCCCACTGAGCCCTTCACATATCCGTCACCGCCTACATCTAAGAAAGTGGATAAAAAAATTTTAAAAAGCTAGTGGCATATAGAAATTCTGAACATGAGTTTGAACTGGATCAAGATGACCAAATGACTAGTGGTCATGGTCCACTGTTCAAATTCAAAGTCTATATTGTAACCCAACCAGAAATATTCATTAGGTGACTAAACTAATATTGATATGAATGGCTGACATGAAAGATGAACATTTTATATTAATTTTCTGTATATTTGAAATTATAAAAGTAAAAAATAAAAAAGATTTATAAAATTTAAATGTGCCACATGTGATTTTCTTTTATTAGTATAAACTTAGTAACTAATAAACCAGTTGACATTAATGGAGGATGCATGCAAAACTGTAAAATAAGCGGAAGGGAGGGGGAGAGAGATGAGGACAAATACATCGATCATGTTACTAAAGCTGCAATGGGGGGTAGCTTTCCTTTACAACTATATATATATATATATAACTCTCTCTTCCTGATCGATCAGATGAGGAGGGATTGCTTTTGGCATGAAAATGAGCAAAAGCTTTTGTCTTTCAAGATATATATAGACTTCGGGAATCAGATTCCTACCACCACCAACATTTATTCTACATCCATCACATTCCATGATTAAATAATTAATTAATGAAACTTCCGCGTATAACATGCATGACCGATTAGTGCAAAATATAAGTGACACTAATCTTAAATAATGCATTAGAGAAGCTAATATAAGTTATATGTATGCAAGTTAATTGTAATGAATTGGACGTCTTGCCAATGATTCAAAAATTTAAGTTGTTAAATAGTTTTGGGATTCATATTATTACCCATGGATGCAATGGAGAAGCTAAAAATTTCAATGCATGTCCATTAACAACAAATATTATTGTCTCTTCTGAGGAAATTGTAAAACATTTTCGACTTTAATTTCCACTGCCTCTTTAAATTTTAATATAAATTTAAAAAATATAAGATTATAAAATCATAGTTCATTATAAAATGGTCCTCACATTAAGATTCTTAGTTTAAATTAATTTATGATATTTGTTCAAGAATGTTGACCTTGAGGAATAGTACCCTTAACGAAAAATAGACATCAAGGGATATACCAAAAAAAAAAAAAAAATCATTTTGCGAATCACTTCGAAATATATATATATATATATATATATATAATTGAAAATTCTTACTCGGAATTAAGGACATATGTATATTCTTACTCGGAATTAAGCACATATGTATGTAGTACATATAATATATATATATAATGGGTGTGGTTAATAAAAGATTGTGCATGCTTTTGCACCGCCCGAATAATCCGTATATATTCCGTAGGCTAAGCCAAGGTTGGGGATGGGACTGGGGTATTCTTCTTATGGTGGGACCTGCCGAAAGGTCTAACGCGGCTGCTACAAATCCCGACCATGAGAATCTGATTGATTGACGGACCACTCTCTCCATCTCTGTATATATATATACATATATATATACACACACACACCATCCCTACTTCTCCTAGGGTCCCCAACTACACGGAGCCGTGGCTCCATCTCCGTACGTACTCCTAGCAACGTAAGCCCTTATAGCTAGACCTTGTATATATAATTATATACATATATATATATATATATAATTATAGAAGATCAAAGTGGAATCAATGAATGGATTTGGTGACAAGCCCAAATATTAGTTACTGCTTAATTGTAAATTGTAATGTAGTTTACAGAAAGAAATTAAGGAAATATGCTGGCTGATTTTGGGTTTGAAAACCATAAGGATAAGAGAGTATGTATATTTTTAAGAGAAGATTTTGGAAGACTTAGGGTACGTAGTTTGTTTTTGTAGAGCAGTTAAGCCAGTTTTCTCAAACAATATTCTAAGAAATGTTTTTATTTTCATTTTTATTTTTTGACATTTTACATTGCTGATTCTGTGTTTTCTTAAAAATTAATCCCAATTAATATTAGAATTGACAGAGTATTCAATTTTAATTCTCTTCCTTGTAAGAAAAAGAATTGGCAAAATTGGGCAACCTACATGTTAGCCAGTCTTCATATATATATATATATATATATAGGGAACAAGCTAGCTAGCTTGGTAAGTCGCATTCAAGAAAGCGATAAAGGATATTTGAGGTTTGGAAGGAAATTTGATAAGATTGAATTAAACTCGAACAATTATAGGATATTACATAGTTGATTATAAAGTTGTCCATTCAAATCTGCGAAGACATGTAGAAATGTAATAAAGCTAGTCCTTTCAAAAAAAAAAAAAAAATTCCAAGTCATAAAGCAAGAGTTGAAGAAGCATAGGAGTAATACTCATGGTAGTCCCATGCAATTGAGGTCAGAGACGACTAGCTCATTAATTGGTAGGCAAATTGAGTTTCAGTCTTACTAAAAACTTATTGACTCCTAATTGTCCAAAAATATAGAAACAAGAGAAGAAAAAGAAGATTAGAAACATACTTTAATGTAAGAAAAGAAGAATAAAGAGGAAAAGAAGCTATATAAAACAAGTGCTCATGTGTAAGAGTTCCATAAAGATGGAGTTTATTCATTATGTGGCAATTAAAATTATTGGTCCTGATCAACTATGTGATCTGTGTGCGCTAGCTATACCCCATTTCCAACTTTAATTACGTGGGTTGATCCACCACCAAGGCCAGATACACACTCATATTATGCTCTTTCTCTATCTACATCTCTCTCTCTTCCATGCATGCATGAGTCACTATTGTTCTTTTTAATTACCTTTTTTTTTTTTTTTTTTTTTTTTTTTTTCCTTTCTCGAGCACTAAATCACAGTCCACAACATCAGAGAGAAGCTTAAAGGCTAAGAAACTTCGACCGGCCACTCAAAACCCTAGAAATATAATAAAACAAAAAGAGAGATATAGAGAATGAGAGAAAAATAAGGAAAAGCCTCTCCCATCTTTCCCTTCTTCTTCTTTCTCCTTTTCTCTGGCCTGTATTCTCCTCTTATTGTGATTCTCCACCATATATTTCCAAAAAACCCATCAACACCTTTAATAAAGAAAAAGATCATCAAATTTAAACCATGGTTTTCCAATCTTTTCCGGCCTATTTGGATCATCCCAACTGGCACCAGGTAAGGTTTTTTTCTTCTTCAAATTCTTTCCACATCTTCTTCACCAAAAAGCAGTAATCAAAAAGACATACATGTAATCTCTTAGTGAATATACCAGATATTGATATAGTTTTCTTAATTTCATGTTTTTTTGGGGTTTTTTTTTTTTTAGTTACAGCAACCAAACTATCAGCAAGGGAGTGGAAGTGAAAATCCTAATGTTTCGCCGCCTCAACCACGGCCTCCACCTCAGGTGGGTGTCGGTGGTAGTAGTGGTGGTGCTAGTGGTAGCAGCAGCAGCTCAATCAGACCAGGTTCAATGGTTGATCGAGCCCGGGTAGCCAAGCTACCACAGCCAGAGCCAGGACTGAAGTGTCCGCGATGTGATTCCACCAATACTAAGTTCTGCTACTTCAACAATTACAGCCTGTCCCAGCCCCGGCACTTCTGCAAGACATGCCGGCGCTACTGGACTAGAGGGGGTTCCCTGAGGAATGTTCCCGTGGGTGGAGGGTGCCGGAGAAACAAGAGAAGCAAAAGCAGCAGCTCGAAATCTCATCAAGCCGCCTCCCAGCAGCAGAAGGGTCCTATGTCCACAAGTGCAAGTCCATCCAGCACTGATATTTCAAGTCATTTTGCTCAACCATCGCCACAATTGCCCTTCATGACCAATTTACAAAATCTTATTCACTATAGCGGTGGAAATGTTGGCGGACTTCAACCACAGATGGCGGCAACAGGTGGTGCTGGACAGAATGATATGGGGTTTCAGATGGGAAGTACTAATTCTACCAATAACATTTTATTTGCTGGTGGTGGTGGTGGTGGAGCGGATCAGTGGCGATTGCCTTTCTTGACTGGCTTTGAGCAACCCTCTAATTTGTACCAATATAATTATCCGAGTGAAGGTCATGTCGAACCACCACCCTCTTCTGTGGTTGGAGGCAGCCACCTTGGGTCCATGACATTGAGTTCTGGTGTTAGTACTCCGGTGGCTCCAGTGAAAATGGAAGACAACAACCGAAGGCTCAACTTGTCAAGGCAGTTGAATGGAACTTCAGAAATTAATCAGTATAATTTGGTTGGAAATACATGGACTGAATTTTCTGGTCTCAATTCTTCTTCCCATTTATAATTTCAGCCCATAACCTTGTCATGCCCAAAACTTCCCTTCGAAGCATCCTTAATTTTCCATCCCTAGATATAGTTTCAATTGAAGCCGAGTGAGGTGAATTAGCATGTTCTACTGAAGTTCTGAACCACAGCTTGATTTCAAAATCCAAGAATATGTTGGGGAAATTGCAAGTGTTGATGGAGAGAGACTTGTCGATCAACATGATGATTTAACTGAAGAAGCAAGAACTGGTAGTGTTTGTGTGTTTTAATATATAATTCTTATACATAAGCTACCTTTTTGTGTTTATTAATTTATGTTTTAATTGCATGTATGAGCTTGTTATCGGAGTGTGTGAAGATATGTGAGTTTGTTGTCTGAATGACCTAATGTTCATGAATACTTTAGCTAGTAACTTATTGTTTGATATTGATCTGATCTTTATGCGTTAGCATTGGCACTGGTTGCTAGTATGAAAAATTACAAAAATTGGATTTGATCATTAGATTGAGAGAAGATCAAATTAATTATTGCTAATTGTTGATTCAATATGTATATATGTGCAGCCTAGCTAGCTAGTAGTACATGCAGTTCATGCTTAAATTCAAGTTGCAGTACCAAAACTTCATCCATCAGCAATAACTCACCATTATGTAGCCCAGACAAAGTAGATTAATTTTACTGAAATTCCCTCTGTATATTATTCACGAAAATGAAACTATATGGTACTAGCAGTGAAGATGACTCATGTCTGTGTTTTTGCTCGTCAATGATAGCTTCGTCATCTCCAAAAGTAGGGCAAGGGCACTGACTGTTATATATATTAATATAGAAGAGGAGTGTACTGGTACTGAAACTTATGAAGTTGCAGTAGATAGACATGAATTCTAGCTCCAGTGTTTTCCGTTATATATATGTTAATTAATCTTGTATGTAAATAGAAGAAGCTAAGCACATCATGCACTTCCTCTCTCTCGCTCTCTCTCTCTCACACACACACACACATAGATCCACCATGGTTCTTAGAAGCTAGAGTTGACTGCATCAAGTTAATTCTATGATAGTAACTAGTATTTTTTATCTCATGCCATGCAAAAACTTGATTTGCTAGCTCATTTTCTGCAACTGTCTATGTTTATGCACCATACACACACATAAATACATATATAAACATTCGGCTTCACACACACACACGTATATGCATAAACACATTCAGCCACAGACACAGAGAGAGAGAGAGAGAGAGAGAGAGAGAGAGTGATAATACAGTTAGTATTATGATTTTGTAGGAATAAGAGCAACAATTGAGGTTTGCTTAGTGTGTTGGTGGTGAGTCGAAAGTCGAAGAAAGGTAGAAGAAAACGCCAAAGTGTCACTCAAAACCATGCAATTTCAAGGAAAGCCAGATGAGAAGAATTGTTGTCATATTTCGTTACAAGATGGAATAATACGAGTCCAAAGAACTTGTATAGCCTTCACATTCTGAAAAGTCCTCTCTCCCTCGTTGTCACGATCCGCGCCATTGTCCATCCTGTGAAAATATTGTTTGCACATTGCCACTAATAATTTTCAAAATAATCTCTCCCCCTGTTGTGCAAGTGAGACTTTCCTGCAAATGTCATTAGTTACATATTATTAATATTGTTATTCTAAGAATTAAAACAGGAACTGTTGGTCTAAAAAGAAAGGAATCCAGAGGATTTGCTTTTCCAAAGACCAATGCTACCTCGCAAAAACGAATAAAGCAATAGAAACCAGCATACAATAAAGCAACTCACACACACACACACTCACACACTCTCTCTCTCTCTCTCTTAATGATAATAGTGGTCAAATATGGGGTCAGGGTGAGTTAAGAAGTGAAAACAGTTGATGCAAAAAAATTTGTGTGATGATAAATGGGTAGAAAAAGGAAAAATAAAGATAGAGAAAAAAAGAGATCAGTTGTTGCTGTTGTTGGTCCTACTGGTACTTTGTGTGGGTACGAAGAAGAGCAATCAGAGGAGGCTCGGAATACCAAGTTTCACACACACACACACATATATATATGTTGATGCCTCCAGTCCCCACATGACATATCTTCCATAGGCGTGAAATCGTCTGTGTTTTTGAATCTGCTTCCCAACCAGCTTTAGCTTTTCTAGTCTCTCTCTCTATCAAATGTTGAGCCCCAAATGATCGATTTTGCTACTCAATCTGTGCATCCTTTCTTGGTTGATTGGCTAATCCAACCCTCCGGCCTCTAACTTACTCTGGGAGACATATATGTATTTATTATTCAACAGCAAATGTATGTGTTTACAGTTCATTATTATTATACATCAATATTCAATACAGTATACAATTTGCTTTACTTTGATCAAACAAAACAAAAAGTGTATCTGCATTTTTTGCACGGCTTTCTACAAGGCTGTGTACTTTAGGAAATTAACTGTTTTTTTTTTTTTTTTTTTTCCTAATTCATTTATATATTGAGCTATTTTTTTTTACCAACTTATTAAATCAATACAATCTTACAATATGCAAAACGCCCTCCAAGCAACTAATGTGGCCCAAATAATCATTTAAATGTTCTCCCAGTTCACTTCAATTCTTTGTCAAAATATTGGTTCTTTAAGGTACGTAGGTTAGGTTGTATAGTGTATATTAAGCTTTGATCCTCTGTTGTTAAGGTAGTAGTGTATATTAAGCTTGGATACTATGCTGTTATACATATGTGTTTGTAATAGTCAGACGGCTACATTCATTCACATGTGTGGCAATCACACTCTATTTATAGGTGTTGTAATAGTCAGATGACTACGTTCAGTCATATATATGACACGATCACACGTGTGAGTGATCATGGTCGTCCGCTATAATACAACTAAAGTTCAATCTATATTATAGAGAAATTTTTTTTAAATTAAGGATTTCGGTGCAAATCATGGGCAACACAAGTCTATATATATATAATTTTTTTTTGTTAAATATTAAATTTAGAGATGATTTGTTATAAAAATAAAAAAATAAAAAATAAGGAGAATTAATGCATGTGAGAATAAGGATGATAACCTTCCTCAAAATGGTGTTGCTACCGTTAACAAGCTTGTATTGGGTAGATGTGACTATAGTATTTGGAAAGAAAGAAATTATAGGGTTTTCAATTTTTGCCAAGAAATTTTTTGGCTCAATTAGAAACAGGGTGCTGTGGATGAAGTTGAAGAATTTTTTGCTCTCCTCTTTTGTTGTTGATTGCTTTGTTGGTATAGAGTTGTGGTTTTCTTTGTTGCTTTGTGTGGCTTTTTGGTCTTGTCTCTTGTTGTCTTTTGGCTATTTGAGATCAGTCGTACATAGGATTCTCCTTCTATTTAATTTTTACCTTTTATTTATGAAAAAAAGAAAAAAAGAAAAAGAAAAATGAGAAGACTTGAGAAGTTATTAAGCTGCCACAGTGGCACTGACAGAGACCTCGGTGGATGCATGTCATAAAGGGCTCAGGATATCCGCCGCCTGTATATATAATTTATGAGCAGTGATACTAACACCTCGAATACTATTACTTAATCGAATAATTTTAATTGATTATTTATACCCTATATAACTAAATGAATGGCTTAACTTTCTTATTTGTTACACAATTGACCAATTAAAAGAATAAGTTTAGTAATTCATTACAACTATTCGATACAAGAATTATTTTTCGTAATTTATACTTGATGTTTATATATAACCTTATGAGAGAAAAACAGTTCATTTATTATAAACTATAGTTATTGATTATTACCATATATAGAATCAAGTATGATTTTCCAAAAACTGTCAATTATTAAAATTATTTACTTTTTATTATTTGAGGGTCCATTTGCGTATATGCTTTTATAAAATTGTTGACACCGGACATAAATATCCAATCAACCCCTTTTAAGAACCAACCAAATAGTCAATGATAAGAAATAATAATGAGTAGAAGCAGCGGAAATATATGCGTTACTTTCACTGTTTTAAAAACATTTCATATGGTTTAGGCATTTTAGTATTCAAGCTGTTTTTCGAAGGTAGGAGCTGTTTATATGACGACAAGAAGGAAAATTAGTGTTTACTAAGGAACAGAATAATGCTTAAGGAGCACAATACAATAAACCGACCTAGCATAAAATTTTCAAACTCGATAACTGAAGTAACTTCAGTAATACATTACTTGGGTATTAACCAATATAGACTTGAAACTGATTAAGTCTTTATTTTTTTTTACTAGGGCAAACCATTTTCTTCTTTTTTCTTTCATTCGTTTTTGGCTGGATCACACAGAATTTAAAAAATGAATCAGTTTGACATGGATACAGAAAACAAACTCGTTCAATTGAAAAAAAAACCTCTGTATAATTACAGTTTTTACATCTTACAGTAATAAACAAACATGTAAAAAGGTCGTACCAGTAGCACCAAGCTCCCACATTAAGCAGGGTTTGGGAGAGGTAGATGGTAGGTTGATTCCAGGACTTGAACCCGCCGCCACTTCGGAAGACGGATGAGCACTTGATCATCGCGTCAGCTCTGACACTCAATATAGATGGCCCTTTTCTCTTTGCCCCATTGATGGCTCTTTCAACAATCTCTTGGAAGTTTAGGTCCTCCAACAAGTAAAAATAGAAATTTGAATAACTTAAGAGATGGGGCTAGTGATCTTCCACCTCCCCCTTCTATTCAAGCAGACCAACCACAACAGTAAAAAGAAACAGAGTAACAAAGCCAAAAAATATATAGAAATAAAAAAAAGAGAATAAAAGTTCTCAACTATCAACAGCATTTGCCAAACAGGGTGGTGATGGTGACGGCTGGTTCTGAGCCTCAGACTCAGCATCAGCCTCAGCCACTGCCTCTGCCTCTGCCTCTGCTTGGGCCTGCTTCTGCAGCTCAATTAATCTGTTCATCCGCTCAAGCAACTGGGCAGCCTTTCGCTTTCCCCTGTCCGTGCCATTTTGTGCTAAATCCACCAGAGGATCCATCACTCCAAGTTCCTGAGCCTCTACCAGATGGTGCTGATCTCCAGCACAAAGCTGCACCAAAACTGCAGCAGCATTCTCTTTGTTCCTTGGAGAACCATTCCCGATAAATTCTACTAAAACTGGCACTGCTTCTGCAACTCCAATGGCAGTCTTCCCTTCATGATGGCTAGCCAGTATTGCTAGAATGGCTAGCGTCTCGTCAACCATCCCACCTTGAGGTTCTGTGAGCAGTTGCATCAGTGTGGGCACAACTCCAGCCCTCACTGCCTTTCCCTTGTTCCCTTGATATATGCAAAGGTTGAAGAGTGCTGTTGCGGCATCCTTCTTACCCCTTTGGGTGCCTTCATTAAGCAGTGCCACAAGTGGTGGTATTGCCCCACAAGCACCAATCATCACCTTATTTTCATCCACAACTGAGAGGCTAAATAGGGTGGCTGCTGCATTTTCCCGCGCTTCCATGCTCCCTTTCTTGAGCACTTGGACTATACCAGGCACTGCCCTAGAGGATATGATGCTTCCTTTGTTATTTTCACATATGGAAAGGTTAAGAAGTGCCGTAACAGCATGCTCTTGGACACGGGAATCAGGTGTTGAAAGGAGGCCCACAAGAAGAGGAATGGCACCAGCTTCAGCAATGGCCAAACGATTATCAGCATTGCGCTTGGCAAGAAGGCGTATTTCACCAGCAGCAGATCGCTGATCTTCAGGATTGCCCGATTTAAGCTTACGGAGAACAGTTTCTATCTTGTAACGTTCTGCAGGTGAATTTGCAGATGTTGTCTTACTGGGTTGAGAGCTCCGTTTAGGTGGTTCAATCCCGTTAGCCTCACACCACTGGGCTATGAGGCTACGCAAAACATAGTTGGGTGTGAGGACGGTGTTAGTGAGTGGTTGTTGTGTCTTCGGACAAGTGCCATGCCCTGCTTCTAGCCATTTCTCAATACAGGACCGCTCATATGTCTGCAGCAGAGAAAAAATGGGACCTCTTAAAGCACTGTATTACAAGGATGGAGAAAAAAGTAAATCTTTCATCTGTAAGATCCAGATATAAGAATGGCTGTTGTACCCAAAATCAGATAAGGAAAAAGGAAAGAAGGATCTTTAGATGATTATAAACATTTGCCTTGAAGACGATTTTTATCCAAAGCTTTCTAGCATGGCTGAGCAACATAGCGTTGAACTTGATGCCAAGTATTGTCTTTATAATAAGCCTATGCAATTTCACATGGGTGGGCATGTAATGGCAAATCCTCAACTACTGTGATCTTTTAGCAGATGGTGCATTCTTTTGACAATCAATGAATAAATATATACGTATACTTAAAAATTAAAAAGATAAGAAATGATGTAGAGGCATAGCTAATGGACAAAGGGAAAAGAAAAATGGATGTCATGCAACTGACTTTATGAAATCAAAGACCAAGAGGTCCAGGACGCGGTACCTGCCCTGTTGAGACAATGACAGGATCCTTCATCAATTCAAGGGATACTGGACAGCGGAAATCATCTGGTATAAGTGGGGAATTCTGTTTTCCTTCCATGAATCCTTGCCCAGGGCAACTTGAAGGAATAGACTTATCCCTTGCAGGAGGCTCCATATTGGGATTTTCTGTTTGCACAAAATCCTTTATTTTCTTCAATAGCATTGACATCTTCTCTATTCTCTCCCCTGGATCTCCACCACTAGCAAAAACCATCTCATGCAAAGCTAGTGATTCTTGAGTGAGGTCAGCTATTCCCAGTAGTTGCAACTTTTCAGCCAATCTCCTTAAGACAGCTGGATCTGCAGCTGTGACGCTGCTCTTGTTGTAAAGGGATAACAGGTTCTCATACAGCTCAACGTCAGGTGCATCAACCCTTCCTTTGGCTCTTCTGAACTGAGCAAGAACAAGCTCAACCTGGATATAGGACGAGTTACAGAAAGGAACAAAGAAGTTAATATATAAAAGGTAACATAATCTGCTTTTGTGGCCTGCTCTATTTATTGGTAACCTACATACTAAGAGTGGATGAATATAGTTTTTGGACCCTCCTAAAGTCTGTATAAAAAAAAATTGATAATATATTAGGACCTTCGAGCTATTTCCAACTCCGAGATGATCAGAAGAGACGTTGGTATCTAATTAAGGAAATGGTTGACGCATTTCTGTAACAATTAGGGTTTCTATATAATCATCTTATAGTCTTGCCCAGCAAACAAATTAACTTTGTTTATCGAATAAGGAAAGAAAATGATTTCGTTGGGATCCTTAATAATATAATGTTTGGACCTTCGAGCTATTTCCAACTCCGAGATGATCAGAAGAGACTTTGGTATCTAATTAAGGAAATGGTTGACGCATCTCTGTAACAATTATGTATAATCATCTTATAGTCTTGCCCAGCAAACAAATTAACTTTGTTTATCGAATAAGGAAAGAAAATGATTTTGTTGGGATCCTTAAATAATATAATGTTTGCACGAAACGCCAGAAGGAAACTTCAAAAAATAAATTTCTACCTGTTCCTTAACTTCGTCTGTTATGTCAATTTCTTCATATGAAATATCACCCAGAGCTTGTTCCAAATGAGCTGTCACTTCTTGGAACCTATGCAAAATTTGATCCCCCTCTAGAACCTGCAAATAAAGTCAAACACAAGTTTAATTTTGTGTGCGTGTGAGAGACAGAGAAAGAGATTCAAGTCAACAAATCCTTGAATCCAAATTACAAGATGCCAACAACAAAGTTGGATGTGATTTATGCAAATCAAAAGTCATGAAAAACTGACATAAATGGCTTTGTGAACTAATTGTTAATTTGGATTTTCTTCGACAAACCTTGCAAAATTAATTAGAAAATGCAATATAAAAGCTAAGCAGCCAGGGCGCAAACCAAGGATATGAGAATATCAATTATATTTTGATTTTTGGGTTAAAATCTTATTTCTCAAATGCCTATTGAGCTGAACACCTCAAAGTTTATAAAACAGGGTATATTAACGTCCGCAACTATGTGTGTAAATGTAATTCAAATTTTCCTTCAAATATAAAATCATGAATACGGTGACATAACAGTCCATGATTCAACAAATTGCAACAGAAGAATCTGATCGAAAGCCAAGATTGAGATTATTCGGTTAAAAAGCATATGATCCCTACCATGTTAAGATACAAATAGTTGTGCAATAACAAAACAATAACAAACAATAATGGAATTTTTTATGTAGCATAAAATATACTTAAGTTCCAAAATAATTAAAAATAGACAAGAAATAAACATATAGTTAAGATATTGGCAGCTTTCCTCCTGTCCTCAATGTGGCAGAGGAGGAGGTGGAAGGAAGAAAATAAGTAGTCAGTTCCAATTAGACTATAATATTGTCTTTTATACCTATAAAATGTAAGTTATTATTAATAAATCTTTTGAGTTCCCAGCTCCAATTTATAGAATGTTTTACCAAAATCAATCTTTTTTTTTTTTTTTTGTATTTCCTTATTTATTTACTCATGCATATACATATATGTGTGTGTGTGTATATATATAGGGGAAAGCTAACATCCCCACCTTCATGGGGATGATAAGCTTGTTCCCATATTTTTTTGGACAAAAATAGCCTTGTTAAAATTTGTCTACTCATAAAAAAAATGGGTATTCATGTAATTTCATAAACAAATGCCTAAACCCTCCTCTTCTCTATCATGTCCTCTCTCTCTCACTCTCTCTCAACGACATTAAAGGGACCTCGCCGCCCCCAGAGACCATGTCGTTACCGGCCGTCGCAAACCCTGGCCGCCGACGCCGCATATCGTTGTCGTCGCTGCAGATCCGGCCACCACCAGCAAAATCGGTAGCGCCACCATCATTTCTGCCACACAACCACCAACAACAACAATATTTCCCACGTATGAACAAACACCGACACCACCACAACCTGTGTCGGCGTCACCACCGCCATCCCCGCCACACAACCGCCATCACCATCCCAACCCCACAACCGCCACCACCATCCCCATAGTCGACAACAACCGCCACCATCCCCGTAGCCGACAACCACCGCCACCATCCCTATAGCCGAGAGAGAGAGAGAGAGAGAGAGAGAGAGAGAGAACATTGAAAAAGAGAGACAGGTTTTCGGAGTGTAAATTGGGGGGCTTTGTTTTAGAATTACATCAATTCCCATATGTTTTATGATGTGGCATGTTTTGATGCGATTATTTTTGTCCAAAAAAAATGGGGACAATCTTATCATCCCCATGAAGGTGGGGATGTTAGCTTTTCCCGTCTTATATATATATATATATATATATATTTGTTTGTGCTTGGGTGGCAGGGGCTTCTGCCTCCAAACTTCCAATTTTATTTCTGGAAAGTAATCCTGCACAGGATGCTTCTAAATATTACAAATAGGAAGCGTAGGATTTCAGCTTCAAAAGTGTAGTCAACCCCAAATAGATGGACAAAAGGTTTTGTTATTGAGTTACTTTATAATCTTATAAGTATATGCTAGTCACACAAAATAATACAAGCACTTGTTGATCTAACCCATCCCACTTTAATTCTACAAGTAACATCATCTCATATATCTACCTCTCTATGAATAGTCTTAAAACAACATCATCAGCAGATACCATTCACCATGTAGACTGAATTAAGTAGTTTCTTAATATTGAATACTTAGTTTTCAGGGCATAGACACGTTATGAACTTTTAAGACCGATTCACTATCTTTTTCTGCTCCAACCTTGCAATTTTACTTTAGTGTTGATGTTCATATAGTTTCTGTCGCATGAGTAAAGCATTAATTTTCAGTTAATGACAGAGATTTTCAACAGAAAAAAACATTACTATAGCAGCTGAATAATCAACTGTGAAAATAATTTGAGAGAAGAGAACAAAAGCGAGATCCACTACAACAATCCTAAACCCCATCGTGAAAATTGCTTTTCATTGCTCAGAAAATATAGGGGAAAAAAATGAACTAAACCTATTAATCTTAGATTCTTACTTGAAATACAAAAATCTCCTCCACTCAGCTGAGCTACTTTAATATATATATTAAGTTCTAATCTGTTTCTAAATAACTTTTAATTAATTGAATGAGATTCTCATCTTCTTATCAAAACACATACACCTATAATGATTTAATTAGTTGCACGCCATTTCATTTTTTCACATACATTACTTAAACTTGAAGTAAACACCCCTTTTGTATCTAAGATTCTAAAAACAGAGGCACCGCCGTCATACAAATCATACTGTGCCAGAATATCACACCACACTCAAAGAATACATCTAATACATTCAATATAAAGAAACAGATGAAAACAAAAAGATCAATCAAGGCAGTAATTCGGGGTTAATAATGTATGCATGAAAGGAAAGGTAAAAGATACTCTTATATAGAAATAAATCAATCAATCAATTCAGTGCCGGCTGGCATATTCCAATTCCTACATTTAACTAACACTAGATTACTCTTTCTGGCAATGCCAGAGATTACAAGGACCTAAAATCTTGATAGTAAGAACACTTGCCCAAAGATGATGAATTTCCAAATAGAATTTTTATTTTTATTTTTTTTATTTTTAAGACTACCGATATCTTTCTCTGCTCTTAAAATTTTACTTTAAATTGATGTTCGCATAATTTCTGCTGCCGCATGAGTCAAAGAATTAATTATCAATTGATGACAAAGATTTCCAACAAAAAAACCAGCACAATCTGCGCTGAATAATCAATTATAAAATAAAAATAACCAGAGCAGAGAAGAGAACAAATCAGAACGATAAACTGATAATTGTGTTTGGTTGCTGCGAAAATATAGGAGGAAAAAACTCTCTAATTTTCAAGAAACCAGAGAATAATACAGAAAAATATCCTTATTTTCCGTTCTCAGTAACCAAACTGAATCAAGAAGTGCCCATTTTCAAACAATAGCGAAAAAGAAAACAGCGAAAAATCTAAAGCATGTGATGTTAATAGATCAATCAAGCAGTTTGTTCTAAAAGCAGATTAATAAACAAACCGGTTACAAATGTATTGCACGTGAGGATCGAATAGGCACACCAGGTAAATCTTGCTTCCTTCGCTTCCCAATCTGAGCAACTCTCTAGCCGATTCCAAAGCTTCCTTCAACGAATTTAGGGCTTTTAAGGACTGTACAGAGAGCGGCTCTTTGCTCTCTCGAATCTCCTCAAACATTGGAGTCAACAGCTTCAACCTTCTAGCTAGATTACAGTATTGCTTCTTGACCGTACACCTATAGTCTGAAATTGCCGATATTTCGTTTACGATATCAATTAGCTTCTGTATCACAACTCCTTTCTCGTCTTCCATGGCTCGAGCTTAGAGATCTGACTCAAAAATCTGTGATAAATTAATACGGAGATTTTGCTAATTTAGGTTGAGTTCGACAGCTTCTGCTAAAACTGATGGAGGTTGATTGAGCGGTGACCCGAGTAGCAGACCGGAGTCGTCTCCATTAGATAGAGAGAGAGAGAGAGAGAGAGGGGAGAGACTTTTTATTGCTGCTGAGTGTCGAGTCATGGGCTTGCTTAACCAGGGTTCAGATTTAACCCGTGGTTTTGTGGTTCGCAGGACGGAGAGGCGGGGAAGAAAAATCTTTTTTTTGCATCGGCGCGGCTAGTTGTGGCGCTGGTCAACTCGGCTGAGTTCTAATAAAATGTGATTAATGGATTCCTAAAAAATCTTCTAAAAGATGTCGCTTCCTATGATAAAATGGGACCCGTAAATAAGCAAAAGAAAACGTTACAGTACATTTGGATGCAGTACATTTGGATGGATGATTGGGAGGGATATGGAAAGAATTGATGCGCTTAAGTGTTTTAAGTGATTTAAAATAAGAGAAAATAAAGAAAAAGGAGTGTTAGGCACCCCTCCTTATCTCTCATTATTATTATTATTTTTTTTCTCTTTCTTTTCAAAAATGAAAAGATAAAAATAATAATATTTAAGTAATATTTTCATAATTTCGAAAGTGTCCTCAACAATTAAAAAGAGATAATTATTATTCTACTCGTTATATTTAAAATGATATGATAATAATTTAATTGTTATTATTTCTTTTCTTTTCTACCTTCTATCGTATCCAAACAGGAATACTATCATTTCTTTTTCTTTTTTTCTATTTATCCAACTATAAATAGAGATTATTGATATATTTTCTTTTCTCTCATAATTAATATTATTCTTTATTTTATCTCTTGTGTATCCAAACAAAGCCTTAGTCTCTAAACTATTAATCCTATCATCTAATAAAAGCTATTCCACATAACTTAAATTGTTAAATTTTCATTGTTATAATTCCGACTCATTTTATACCTAATTCACATGGATCCAAATTCGCATTGCTTAACCATCGGGAAAAAACAAAATTTCTTATTGCTTAACAAATAAGTTTATGACTTCTCATCAAGTACATATGAGTCTAAGGTTGATACGTTGAACGTATAATTTAGATTTAATTCGTCGTATATAATGTTATGAGTCTAAGGTGTAACGTTGGCATGTTCAACATATAACCCGTCGCATATAATGTTCGGTATTAAATCCACATTCGTGACATTCATATTGAGCTAATCATCCTAAGTTCAATTCATTCTTAAATTTATTTTAATTTGAATTAAGTTCAAACTTATAACTGGGTCTAAGATTTTGAATTAAACTTTTAGTTGTCATGCTTAATTTATAGACTCATTAAAAGTGGCATAATATGTATCCTAAGCTTTTGAATTGGATTACAAATGTCTTGCCTTTGCAACTTGGCTCCACCGCGAGTAAATAGGATGACCCCATGCTAATGAGTTTGACTAAGATAATATAAAAATAAATAGGGTAAATAAATAAATAAAAGGGACGTATTTGTAATTCTCACACCCTGTCATTTCAATCCAATGTGCTAATACAATTATAACACACGATAACTTTATAGTATTATTTAGATAATAACATGCGTGAGTTAAGTCAAGCGGAGGAGACCTATTTAGGAAGATGGACAGTCAGTCACTCCGATAATGATGGACGACAGTCACTCCGATAATGGGGTGTCATATTTCCATCGATTGTCAAAAGAATAAATTTATAGCCTAAAAACAAAAAAAAGAAGGAAAAAGACACCACTTCAAGCCGCGCCGGTTAGCCAAATACGTAGTTGAGAACCGTCAGACAGTGCCAGCTAAGTAATTGGTACTAGTAAATTAAATGAATTTACTATATAAATTACCTGCATAAGGAATGTTTCTGGTTGATTATATATGATGGGTCATTCTCTAATTTGTTGTATATATTACTAATTAAATAAAGTAAGTCTGATAATTTATTATAATAAATCAATACAAGTATCATTTAAAAAAAAAAAAAAATTAAAATATCTGAAAACCCCAAATTAAATCACATTAATTAACTAAAGAAAATAATAATTTTATTTTATCAAAACTTGATAGATGTTAAAATGCAAAAAGTTCCTCTTCAGGGCCTCTATAGAAATAAATTGATGTTGCAACAACTATGAAAATATGTAATATTATTAATTTAATGCTATTGTAATATTTTATTGCTATTGTATTTTCATATTAAATGTTTTGCATAAGTATATGTATAATGCATGAGTATTCCATGTAATACACTGTGTCCTCAATTTAAAGTGATTCAGTGCACTACATAAATTGCTAATTCAAAATTTGGGATGATTACATGATTTAAAGCAAGTAATTTTTACTTAAATAAAAATCTTTATAATTCAATCTGTCCATATAAACTTTACCCAAAAAACAGTCTGTCCATAGATTATAGGAAATTGGTAGCGCATATATGTGTGTATATATATAGCATTTTTTTTTATTTTTTTGTATAAAATATAGAGTGTAATTTTTTTTTTTTTTTGGTTAATTACTTAAAAATGGAATTTTAGAGGTCAAATGACAAAAGAATGAAGTTAAAATCAAAATTTTTAGATTAATGAAATTTTCTCAAAATTTGACGTAGATATAGAAATTTATTGTACATCATATTTTTATTCATAAAATGTCATTCTATTATTATTATGAAATTATGTTATTATCCCTCATATCTAGAAAGAGAAATTCATCTATGGCAACCCTTCTCCCCTAATGAACAACTAACAAATCTGATAAATTCATCCAAAATTTCTGATCATTTGCACTTTTCGAATGATAAAATGGATTTGCTGTTTTTTGTTTTTTTTTTAAATGGATTTGCTAGTGAAGTGGGTGAAAGAGAGAGATGGTCAATAATAAAAAAAAAATATTTATTTTTGCCATTGCAAATGAACATATTTAGAAGGGGCTGGTTTAGTGGTTTAGGGGTGTCAGAGAGATGGAGGTTGAAATGGGTTTGTTGTAAATATTCCACTAAATTGGAGAGAGGACCTTTCACCAAAGAAAAAAAAAAGCTCGAGGGACAGGACCCCCATTCAAGCACAGGCCTCAAATGCAGAGGCCGAAAGACATTCATAACAACAATAGTAGGGTATTTTGGAAATAAAAAAATGATTATAGTAAATTTTCATGTCCACCCGAGACTTTGAAACAATTCCATTGGAAAACTTAATTTTAACTTTTTTTTTTTGTCTTGTGGCCCACAAAACTTCATTTTTATGGGATTATCCCTTCTTCTTTTTTTTAATCTTTAATAGTGTTAAAATAAACTGTCATATTACTAATGCGTAAAATTATTGTGTATTTTACCCAATCTTTTTATACAGTCACATCAGCATATTTTCTTTCTCTTTCCCATTTCTCATTATATTAAAGAATCAACTCTATATTAAGCAGGTTTATAAAAATTATATGGAGTCCAAACATATTAATATTTTTACACAAAAAATATAAAACAATAGCTAAAGTTAAAATATATATATATATATATATATATATATATATACACACACAGTTGGAGATGCTCTAAGAGATTTAGGTAGTTTAAAAGCTGTTTTTTTCTTTCTTCCTTTCCTTTCTTTTCTTTTCTTTTTTTATTTTTTATTTTTTATTTGTTTTATTTTAATCCTAACGTTTCGTTGATACTCCTGTTAATTTCTGTCAACAACATCTAAAGATTTTGCCGACAAAGAAACAACTGAATATGACAAAGTAATTGACCTAATTAGTACCAACAAAATAAATATATAAATAAATAACAAATGTTAAAACTTCAGGATTCATTCAACTCTTTCGATTTTATTGATAATTGTTATTATTTTTATTTTCATTTCATATATGACTAGGGTTTATATTGTTATTATTTTTTCTTCTAGTGGTTTTTAATTATTGATTTATGAATATTTTTTAATCTTGAAGTTTGGTTTGTTAATAATAAAAATTCCATTGTTTTTGACAATATAATCGCATGAACAGAATTTGATAAAAATAATATAATCGTCGTACACACATTCAGTTAATTTTTTTTTACCATCTTAATTAACTTACCGAGAAGTGATACGTCTTTTGAACTTAATTACAAATTCATTATACGAATATAACGTGGTTGGGAATAAGTCGAAAAAAATGAGATGTTTACGGGATTTTGTTTTAAGAGTTTCAACGTGATCCAACCACGTTGTATTCGAAAAATAAATTGATAATTAAAATCGAAAGACCTATCATTTTTCTTACCTTCAATTCTTATGTAGCAATAGAAATTTTATTATCCAATTTCTATTTATTTAATCAACTATTATACGATTTCTGAATGGGGAAAAATCGTCTCCGGACACCCTCTCACTGGAGGGTGTCCATTGTTGACGTGGCAAGGTATGTACATATAGTATTTACCTCGTATGTATATAATAGTACCCTATGTATCTGTACAGAATTCTCCTGCCCGGAGATCATTGTCTTCCACTTCCTCGCCGCCCATCGCCGCGCCGACCTCCGCTGCACCATCCTCACAACCTTCCCTTACCTCACCTTCCGCCTCTACCACTTCGACACCAACCTCGTCCACGACAAGATCTCCGCCTGTTTCCACCATCTCCTCAGCCTTTTTCGGCTGGGAAGAGTCTTTTTCCGGTGAACCCATAGAAGAGGAAAAACTCTTCTCAATCTCCGGCACGGTTGCGTCAGGCACATCGGCTGTCTTTTCGACGGACTGGTGACCCAATTTCTCTCTCTTCTTGGACTACTCGCCGTTAGCCAAGTGTTCCTCAAAGGCCCCAATCGCTTGGTGGATGAGCTCACGGTTCGGTGACAATCCCACTGGAACCAGTAGCTCGTGTAGCAGTCAAAACAGCCACAATCGAAGACCGAAGGCTTGTGGGCATCAGATTTCTTGGCCGATTTATTCTTCTTGTCGTCGGCGCCGATCAAGGACAGGTTCAGAGCTTCAACACAAAGAAAAACATCTCTGTTTGTCGCAGAGTGAGAGGGCACAGATGAAGAAGAGATGGGTATACTTTACCTTCGTTTCTCATCTTCATGATTTTCTTGTGATGAGTGAAGGGAATAGTTGCTAATTTGTGGTGGTGCAGTGGTGCTGTCGACGGTTGCGGTGGTGGTGGAGGAGGACCGGTGGTGAGGATGGTTTTGGTATATTGTATTCGTATCTGGTAAGTATGTATATTGTCTGTAGTATTCGTATATAATAAAAAAAGTAAGATTTAAAAGTTATTGCTGGCTTAGCGCTTGGTCGATGCTGACAAAGCAATGACACGGCAAAGTAGACCCACATGGCTTCATTCCGACCATAATGTCACGCCCCACCTATGGAGGTTGTGCCACGTAGGCGACACGCAGACGCTGAGGAGGACGCTGCATGGCGACTACATGGCATGGGAGTTTCTAGAATCTTCCGGAGTAGTCTAGAGTTATGTGGAAGATTCTAGATATGTGTAGAAATGTGTAGAACATTATAGAAGTGTGTGGAAGGTTCTAGAGTTCTCCAGAGTTGTGTGGAGTAGTATGGAGAGTTCTACAATGTTGTATATATGTATGGAGATGTGTAGAAGGTGGAAGAAGATTCTAGAGAATCAATTTCCACCGTTGGTTAGAATGCATCCTAGCCATCCATTAGGGATGGGGATGCCTATAAATAGGAGTAGGACTTCATTTTGCAACCAACAAGTCCTGGAGTGAGTTTTGAGAGCCTTGTAGAGAGCTTGAGTGTTAGCCTTGTACAAAGCATTCTTTGAAGTAATAGAAGTGTTCTTTCCTTGCCAACTTAAGTACCTTAGTGTGTATGAGTGTGTAAGCCTAGTGAGGAGAGGGCGAGGGCAACTACAACACTAGTAAGTGCACGAAGGGAGTGTGTTGGCTAAGGTGTGCATGGGAGTTAGGCTGACCAAGTACTTGCGAGAGTGGAAACAACGTCTTGGTGCCGCACGGGAGCAGCTAGAGTGGTGCTGAAACTCTAAGCCCGTGACAGTTGGTATCAGAGCAGGTTCGTCAAGGGAGCTTTGTTGGAGTAGACATGGCTAGCGGAGGAGACCACCAAGTCCACGTCTTGGAGCAGAGCTTGGAGGAGAAGCTTGCCACACATTTGGTCTACACGGAGACCAAGTTTAACAGGCTCGAGAGAAAGATGGCGGAACTCTACGAGCTGATTGACGGCATTGCCAACAAGGCGCGAGAGAAGGAAAGGGACTTGTATGATCAGTTAGACGACTTGCGCGTGGAGATTGCTGAGTGCAAGAAGGAGTTCTCCCAGGCGCGCGAGGTCGTGGTGAAGCCAAGGAAGAAGAAGGTGCCGGAGCCCAAGGAGTACGATGGGGCAAGGAATGCGCGCCAGATTGACAACTTCTTTTGGCACATGGAGCGGTACTTCGAGTGCATGGAGATCGAGGATGATGAGGAGAATGTGCAGACAGGCACTATGTACCTCACGGACACTGCCGTTCTATGGTGGAGACAGCGCTTCACCGGTAGAGGCGCAAGAGCAGTTGATACATGGGAGGAGTTCAAGAGGCAGCTCAAGAGGCAGTTCTACCCTGAGTGCGTTGAGGACCTCGCCATGATCAACCTAAGGCGCCTGAAGCAGAAGGGCAGCATAAGGGAGTATGTGAAGGAGTACTCCAACTTGATGCTGGAGATCCTAGAGATGCCGGAGCGGCAACGTGTGTGTTTGTTCATTGATGGGTTGCAGTCTTGGGTAGCCACAGAGCTGAGAAGGAGGGAGCCTAGAGATTTGGCATCCGCAATGGCTATAGCGGAGCGCCTTGAAGACTTTAGGGGCGATGACAAGAGGGCCACGTCTCCCAGAAGGGACCACGGCAAAGGTGGGGGAGACCGTCGCTTCAAGAAAAGGGGCTCGCCCAAGTCAAGTGATGATGAGCACAGCGATGAGGAGAGACGCCCACGCCATGATAAGGGCAAGGACCATGGAGAGAGGTCTAAGGCTAGTGGCAAAGGGGAGCACCGCGATAAGGGCAAGTGGGAACCGAAGTGCTACTTGTGCGAAGGGCCGCACATATTGCGACACTGCCCCAACAAGAAGACCATGAGCGCCCTTGTGAAGGATAAGGGCAAGGGCAGGGTGGACGATGCGGGCAGGGTGGACGATGCAGGCAGCGATGAAGATAGGTGCATGGGGGTTATGCAGATGCTGAGTAGCATGGTACATGACACCAAGAAAAAGGGCAAGGCAAAGAAGGTAGCTGGGGTGCGCTATGTAGATGCGCAGGTTGGTGGCAAAGCCGTGCAAGCGTTGGTAGACACGAGTGCTACACACAACTTCATTACCCCTGAGGAGGCGCAACGACTTAGCTTGGAGATGTGCAAGACGGAGGGCTGGATCAAGGCCGTTAACTCCGAGGAGGCACGCGTGAGTAGAGTGTGCAAGGAGGTGGAGCTATGCATGTAAGGATGGAAGGGCAAGGCTGACTTCCAAGTTGCGGAGATGGACGACCACGACATGGTGCTGGGGCTGGAGTTCATGGACAGGAACAACGTCGTGCCACTACCATGCCTTGGTGCGTTAATGATACTTGGAGGCGAGGAAGGCAAGGCCGCATGCATGGTGCCGCTCGTGGGCAGGAAGGAGAGTCCAGAGGTGGCAGTCAACACGATGGAGCTCGTGAGGACTTCACATCTCCCGAAGGGCGCTCGTACGTTTGGGCCAAGGACATATGCGCAAGTGCTGATGACCTGCGAGAGGCTGGGTCAGCTGAAGAAACCGTGACGAGGGCGTCACGGAAATGGGTGGGGGAGAATGTCACGCCCCACCTATGGAGGTTGTGCCACGTAGGCGACACGCAGACGCTGAGGAGGACGCTGCATGGCGACTACATGGCATGGGAGTTTCTAGAATCTTCCGGAGTAGTCTAGAGTTATGTGGAAGATTTTAGATATATGTAGAAATGTGTAGAACATTATAGAAGTGTGTGGAAGGTTCTAGAGTTCTCCAGAGTTGTGTGGAGTAGTATGGAGAGTTCTACAATGTTGTAGATATGTATGGAGATGTGTAGAAGGTGGAAGAAGATTCTAGAGAATCAATCTCCACTGTTGGTTAGAATGCATCCTAGCCATCCATTAGGGATGGGGATGCCTATAAATAGGAGTAGGACTTCATTTTGCAACCAACAAGTCCTGGAGTGAGTTTTGAGAGCCTTGTAGAGAGCTTGAGTGTTAGCCTTGTACAAAGCATTCTTTGAAGTAATAGAAGCGTTCTTTCCTTGCCAACTTAAGTGCCTTAGTGTGTGTGAGTGTGTAAACCTAGTGAGGAGAGGGCGAGGGCAACTACAACACTAGTAAGTGCACGAAAGGAGTGTGTTGGCTAAGGTGTGCACGGGAGTTAGGCTGACCAAGTACTTGCGAGAGTGGAAGCAACGTCTTGGTGCCGCACGGGAGCAACTAGAGTGGTGCTGAAACTCTAAACCCGTGACAATAAGCTCTGCCATGGACACCCTTTAGTGAAAGGTGTCATGGAGAGGATTACTGCCTGAATGAATTAGCCTATTTAATAACAGAAAATCAATTACTATCCAAGAATATGTCACTGTCTTTCTAATAGTTAGTAAGATTTGGTATTTTTGTGGAATTTTTTATTGGTTGGATTTTTTTGTATGTATTATGTGTCTATAAATTATCATCATATTTTTTTAAATGGTATTATATTTTCTTAATAGGTTTACAATGTTTATTATAAAAAATTTAATACGGAAAATTAAACATGTGACCTATGCAAATGAAAAAATAAAAAATAAGCAGAAAATAAAAAGCAATCGCAGTTGGGTGTAACAAGTTGCAATTAGGGTCAAACCCTAAACCCTGGTATGAGTATCAAGTTGGGGCATGTTTGGTTAGTTTGTGCTGTCTGTTTGGCGCTGAAATGGTAGAATCAGACGATGAGAGCGAACGGAGAGTTATATGGAAATGGGGTCGTTGTGTCGTCTCGTTCGTTACTGTATTCCTCTCTCAATTTGCCCTATTTATGCTTCCTTGCTTTTTTCCCAACTCCTCTCTTTTCATCCTCCTTTGCTTCTCAGGTTCTCTCTCTCTCTCTCTCTCTATTTATATATATATATCTTTTCATCCACCTTTCCTTCTCAGGTTCTATATATACATATATATATAATTGATTTGAAGCTCGAAATGGTTGTTTCAACGCAGCTATAGTTACGCTAGCAGTGGCGGGTTTCGGGAGATGCTGCAAGAGACTTCTCGGATTCCGCGCATCAGCTCCCGCGTTCGTTTTCTTCAATATATTGTTCATCTGGGGTGTTTATATTGCTGTAATTCGACCAGGTACCTATTCATTCTCAATCTCTGTGTTTAATATCAACTAACTGTTTTGATTCAAGTTCCAAATTGTAGATAGGACTTTTGATTACCATTCTATTATATATTGTGCTAATTTGTTTACTTAGTTGTGGAGATGTTGTGATGTCCTTATAGCTATATTAACGGAATGGTGGAAGATAAATACATAAAAAAAAAAAAATTAAAGATAAAATATTGTAGGAAGAGAGAGTACGCACACATATGTTGAAATTGGTTCATTGTATTATCTAGTGAAGGTCAGAAAAATGTTAATTAAGTCTCTTTTAATTCCTTCTATGGTTCCACATGAGAAACTAGTTGAATATAACCTAAATGTCCAATTGAACTATGAGTTACAAGTCTTTTGACTTTCGTTTGGGCCATGGCGGCCAGTGCTCCTAAGATCATATAGGAGCAATGCTGCAGGAATGGAAGATTTGTTGCAATTTAGCTCAATTAGGTTCCGGAAAATATATCTTCTTATGCTTAAGACTTCATTTTTATTCAGAAAATTTTCTCTTGAAATATTTTCTTTGAAACAAGTGGAGGCTAACTGGTTACAGTAAGGGGATCGGAGGTTGGGGTTTGCTGTATGTTGTATATCTTAAACTGCATTTCTCATCATCATAAATGATGAGCCCATATATTACTATCTAACTGGAAATTCTATTATTTGTTGAATCAGTTTCTTTTTACATTGTTACATGAATTTAGTTCTTGGCTTCTAGCTTAACAACCTTAAATTGTTTTTCCTTCTTCGCAGTCATTTCACTTTTGGTGGACATTGTATTCAATGCAGAGATTGTTCTGCTTGTGATTGGTCTATATAGGTCAGATTCTCTTTGCACTTCCAGTATTTACTTCCTTGGTTGTTGCTCATACACAAAGGAAGGTTTTATGTTTAGGGCTATGTGTGCATTATGCTAACATGCATGTTCTTGATGTCAGTATCGTGTCAAGTGACCCCGGTTACATTACATATGGATCTTCCTGTCTTGACGACGTTGTTGATGGCACTATCACTGACGTTGAAGCCTATTCAGAGGTTGCAAATGTTGAAAAGCCCTTCCTTTTAGATAGCATCACATGCAATATATATAGACTTCAAATTGTGGCATGTATAAATAAACTCATTTCTTTTTCTTTTATTTTATTTTATGTTATTTTATTTTATTTTTTACATTCTTGAAAGAGGACCTTGTTTAAGTATGGTGTTCATTTAATTTATCCTTTAAATTTTATTTTTTAAGACTTGCTTCTCTAGTTTTATTTATCTATTTATTAATTATTATTTTTTAAATAGCTTTTATGTGTTTCATGTTTGCCTCTCATATTTGTTGTTCTGTGTGTGTTTGTTGGGTTGTTAAACACAACTGATTTTATGAATGCTTAATATCCACAGAAACATGTTGTCCTAATTTTTTAGTTCTTGGTTTCTTTAAGATGTGCATTCTGCATTCTGAAATGAAGCATCTTGATTAAATATGGGGGGATTCTACTTATCAAAAAAATATATATATATGGAGGGATTCTATTTTTGTTAAGCTTCTATTTTGTTACTTTGATGATATTAATCCTAGCACGTTTATTATTTAATTAAGGTATCTTAGCTTTCATTTACTATCAAATTCTCAATTTAGCCATACAATGAGAATGCATTATCGATTTATTTTACTGTCTTCGTTGAACTTTTATGTGCTAAAAAGTCTTCAGTGTTACTATCAAATTAACAGAGTCCTGTTTCTGCCTGGAGGATACGATATTGTAGGCACTGCAAGGCTTATGTAAAGGGATTTGACCACCATTGCCCTGCTTTTGGAAACTGTATAGGTAGTGACGACTTGTGTGAGTTATATAGTATTTGCCTTCTTAACTACCCTTGGACATATTAGAACATTAACATTTCATTTTTCTGATGAATTCTTATTTCTGTACTGCTTTTAGATTTGGTAGTACTTTTAGCTTTCCATGCATCTATATGCTTTATAGATACTAAGTTGATATTCATCTAATCCAGGTCAAGAAAATCATGTCCTCTTCATAATTCTCCTAATTGGCTTTGTTACTGCTGAGGCTTCTTATGTTTTGTGCTCATCTCAGTGTAAGTTGGAATTCTTCATGCCTAACATAGTAACATGGTTTACTGTATACACCTGTTATGATATAGCATTAAATCAGAAACACTTTTCTTTTCCAAAATCTCTACCAGTCCTCAAACACCTATCCAAAGTGTTGAAGTACAAATAAACTGATTCAAACAATATTTGAGAAATCATATTTTAAAAACGGTGCCAAAGAACCGTAAATATCTAGAATGGACTTTTAAATAATGCATGATGTATCCATGTTGGACACCCGTCAATCCGAACGTGGGTATGAGATATGTGAGCAATACTTATGACATACTAATATTATATTACAAATTTATTATATAATTGCACATAAGCTAGGAGAAATACTTTAATGCTCCTATTATTTTGATGACACGGTATCACCGACCAATTGAATGCTGACACGTAGTGGTAGGACCCACTAAATAAATGCACTTTTGTTTATGTGACGTGATATAATTGGTTGATAACATCGATGACATGGTATCATCTGTGCAGGGAAATCTTTCTCATAAGCTAGCCCTTTATTATCGTTCTAAAATGAGTGAAATTGTTATTTTACTCTAAAAATAAATGAAAAATATAAACTAATATGAATATTTAGTCGTGTCTACGTGTTCTTGACTTTGAAGATGTAACAAATCCGACGCTTGAACACATACCTGACACCTGTGTTCAAGTCAGTGTAACGTAGCTTTTTGGCCATCCATTTATCTTTTATTTATTTTTTTGATGAGGAAGACATTCAAATGTTTTGAAATTAAAAACTTAAGCAAGATCTGGATCTTGATTTGCACAATTATCATTTTTATGTTTTTCAAGTTTCTAGTTCTTAATTATTATTATTTTTTTCTTGTTGAAGTTATAATTTCACTTTTGCATTCTTATCCTGGATTTCAGTTGCCACAAAATCTCAGATCTTTGATATAAGTAGGTGGGAGGTATGTCATTGCTTCCTGATGATCCCTTTTGCAATGATGGTTGTTAGTATCTTTTGGACTCAAATTATTTTAGCATCACAATTTCTACTATTCCATATTTGCATCTTTATTTTATATGAGAATATATATATATATATATTTTTCAGACCTCTAAAAAATTGGCTATTAGCACAATGTTATTTTCTCTTCTCCAAATGCTATGGCAGGTATGTATTGTTTCCAACTATTTGTATCCTTTTGAATAATATGTTGATAACTGATTGGAAATGAATAAAATGATAGATAATTTGATTATCTAACAAGTGATTCTTGCACGCGCGTAGGGGGTGTTCCTGACATGGCATATATATTGTGTATGCTTCAACATCAGAACTGATGAGTGGGTAAGTTGCAAAATCTCTTTATCTATATATTGAAACAATAAATGCGGACCTCTTTTAGTTTGTTTGAATGTGAAAAAGATATAATTAGAACCTATTTGATCATTGGTTTCTCAAACCATTATCTTTTCTTTTCTTTTTGTCTTCTTGAACTTTTCTTTTCCATTAATAAGTTGGTCCATATTGGAGGGAGGGAGGGAGGGAGGGAGGGATATTTATGCCGTCAATTTGTCCTATGGAACTTATGTTCTGCCTAGTTCTAATGCCTTGATATCTACATGTTAAAACGTCTCCTCTTTAAAATAAATCTTCCCTCCAGTTTGCAATAGGAGTAACTACAAAATATCTCTTGCTTGGATGTTTCAAGGATGTGCTGAGAAACCTCCAGTCTTGGAAAATAATTTTAAAAATTAGGTTGCACAAATTAGACAGCGTCCAACCAGCACCACTAGCTTTGTGGAGTCAAATCAAGTGATTGTTTATGAGGGGAAATGAAAAATAAGAAGAAAAAAACTGCAGTTTTGCAACTAAACATCAATGTTTCTGCAGATAAACTGGAAGAGGTATCCAGAGTTCCAACTTATTAACCAGTCTCAACCAGGTATGTCTATTACTTGGCTCCAATAGTTCTTTTTACCCAATTTATGATAGAAATTGTTCAATAGTTTTTTATTTTTTATTTTTATTTTCTGTTCAGGGGAAACCATAAATCATATGAGGTTTAGAAATCCATATGATAAAGGAATTTTGTGTAATATAAAGGAGTTTTTGGCACCATAAGAATAGTACTCAATTATATTTGTCTGTGCCTGTGAGCTTTTACCATTTCACCAAGAGATGGCTCCTGTTAACACACTGCATCAGGGAAACCAACATTAATTTTTGTAGCTCCTGTAAATGTTTTGCTCTGCAAGCCATATATGATCATCGCCTTCCCAACATTCCAGACCAAGAATATGGCTATGTATATTGCATTGGTTTAATGGAAACATGGAATTTGCGGGAAATCCTACACGTAAGCATTTAGCCAACATCAACCGCAGGGTGGCAAATGAGAGTATTCTGATGGTGCTGGAGGGTTACATTTTCGAAGATTCCTAATTTACTAACTTGGAGCTTGCATTTTAGCTGTACCAGAGGATTTTCCTTCCCATCCAAGATGCAATTCTTAAATCATAGGAGTAAGCTTCCAATTTTACCGAACTTGTAAAATCCTGGCCTTGGTATATATACATTTTCTCTGACTGACTTGCAAGCTCTTAACGAAAAGTGAATGGTATTATGAATATTGTGTTGCCAACCTGAATACTTTCCGGGGAGCGTAAATAATAGATAATGATCTGTTTAATGTGATATGCTGGTACCTTCAAGTAGTTCCTTTAATCTTACAATTCGGGATTAAATTGAATGAGTTTAGTTACATTTGAAGGACTAATTCAAGGTGTGGCTTATCGATGCGACAATGTGCATTTCTCCCACTCCCTTCTTTCCTTGGCATCCTCCCAGAAGAGCCAAAAAGGGAAGATTCAAGCAGATTGAAAGATTTTCTAGGGAACCAAACAGCCTGGTTTATAGTTACCTGATTTTAAGGTATAGGGAAGGCTTTTCCCTTGCTTTTCTTGAGGTAGTGTTAAGCTTAAGAACAAGTTAAAAGAGACTGAAGCACTTGCTTATCTGAATAATTTAAGTAACATGAGTAATTTGATTTGGAAAGGAATAAATAAGCATCATTATGATCACAACTTAATTTGGAGAATTTGTTAATGCATTTTAGGGTTTCTCAAAGAAGATATTGATTGGTTATTATAGCAAAATACACTTGCATTCATTTATTGGAAAACAAGTTACACACAACAAAGGTCTTTCAGTCACCAAACTGAGAAACAAAACACAGCACACAACACACTCACACACAAACAGACTATTGGAATGATGGAATCACATTTATTCATGGATGACTTGTCTAAAGAGACGGCAATTTTTAAAAGTTAGCCAGAGATGTCAACAGCCTTGACTTCAGGCTTCTTCACTTCCTCCTTGGGCACAGTGACAGTGAGCACACCATTCTCCATGCTGGCTTTCACCTGATCCATCTTTGCACTCTCCGGCAACCGGAACCTCCTGAGGAACTTGCCACTGCTCCTCTCGACGCGGTGCCATTTGTCATTCTTCTCCTCCTGCTCTTTGCTCCTCTCTCCACTTATCTGGAGAATCCTTCCTTCCTCCACCTCAACCTTCACTTCCTCTTTCTTCAACCCCGGAAGATCAGCTTTGAAAATATGAGCTTCCGGGGTTTCTTTCCAATCGATTCTGGTGTTGGCAAACGCAGAGGTTTCGCGTGCTGAAGCAGGAATGTTGGCGACTGAGGAGGTGAAGAAGGGATCCCAAATGTCTAGAGAAGAGAATGGATCAAATACATTGGTTCGAAGGCCACCAAAGATGCTTGGAACGAGCGACATTTTTGAGGATTTTGAAACTGAAATCAAACAGCAGAGTAGAATTCACGAAAGGATTGGAAGAGAGCTTTGAAGTATTGGATGATGAACTTGAAGGGACGTGAATACCTTATTTATAGTCATCAGAAGAGTGGGTTCTGGTGGAAGAGATGAGAGAGAGAGAGAGAGAGAGTGTTCTCGTAGCTTCATGGACCATCTCTCATGATGCCCTTTCACATCATTAATTTGATTGCCCTCTTCCGTAAGCTTCTACCACATTCATCAGCATATATATTGTTTATTTCTTTTTATAACGTCTTTCAATTGTTACAGTTTGATAAGGTAATACAATTGTGTGTAATTCTGGGCCCACCATATCTATGGGTTAGACCGAAATTAGCGGTGGAAAGACCAAAACTGGCGATGAAAAGTGAAAGTAAAAATAAAAGAAGGTGAAGTAAAAAAAAAAAAAAAAAAATTGTTGTTCTTTTTCACGAGCATTACCTATTCCACACCTTCTACTTCATCTACTCCTCAAAATTTGAAGGCTTCCTGGTTCGTATTTGTAATGGTTTGATGTATTCAAGTCCATTACAAGCAATCATAGGCCCTAAAATATTCCCAATAGTAAAGTCATACAAGTTTGCAATTTTTTTATAGAGCAAAATGGTGAGACGAATTCGTATTTTTCAATCTTAAAGTAAACTTTTCCACCCAACTTTTCTCTTGCTTCTCTCTGCCCTAGCCGCCGCTCCTCACCTTCTTCCATCTGCTTCCTCCCCACTCCCTCCCATGGGAGTGGAGAGGTCCCGATCCCAGTCACTCACTGATTAATAATATCGGTGTGTTGTACATAGCCTATTCGGTGGGTGGATTCATGCCCTTTTTGTTGTATCTCCTCGCTGTCGTAGAGGTTTTGCTGTGAGCAGCGTCTCTCACGTTTCATCACGAGTTTTTGTTCCCGATCTTCTGATCTGCGCTGTTTTTGAGGGTAGCTGGTTGCTGGGTCGCCGGAGTTGGGTTTGTTTGTCTGCTCCTCTATGGAGCTTTTTGGTGTTTTGCGCTGAGAGTGGATCTGATGCATCTGCGTCCTTTGCCGACGTCCACCGTGTCTGATGCCTGTGCTAGTGTGTTTGGTTTTCTCGTCGGTGGTTTTTTTCGATGGGTTCATTACTGACGTCATGGGGTCTTTCTTTAGGACTGTGTTTTTTTTTTTTGTTGTGGTGATTTTCCTTCTCTTGCTGGCACCTTTTCTTTGGCTTGTCAAGACTGTTGATCTTGACTATAAGAGATGTTCGTTTTGGGAAGGTGTTTTATGTGTTTTTGATCCTCTGTCTTTGCCTGATAATCTTGTTGTAGATGCTGTATGGTATCTGGCTTGTTTTCTTACCAGGGTAAAAAAAAAAAAAAAAAAAAAAACCCAGATATGGTGAAAAAAAAAGTTAGCTGATTGTTATTCTTCTATATTTAAAATGTCAAAATTCTTATTTACGAAAAAAGGAAAAAAAAGAGTCAAAATCGTTGTAAATTATGCCCAATACTTATAAAGGACCCCGGTTTATCAAGTAATTATATATATATATATATATATATATATATATATATATATATTTTATCCTTACAAATTAAGGAGGGTGAGACTCGAATACGAGCACACCTGCTCACAAGGCAATCGAGTAATGCCCCTAGATAATTTCCTAATCATCAAAATGATTTAAACAGTAAACTTGTATTTCTAGGTTATTGTAACTTAAGTTATACAATCCTTCTCAACACGTGTCGTTCTCACGCTCCGAGCGTACTCTCATTCTCATGCTCCGCATTCACTCTCCCTCTCGCTCCCGCTTTATATGACTTAGATAGTAACTCAAAACTGGCTTCCTTTTTCTTTTTTCTTTTTCTTTTTTTTTTTTTATTTTTATCCCAGGCAACAAGATAAAAGAAATAGAAAAATCAATACAAATCCCCCAACAAAGCTTCTTCAACAGAAGCATGAACCGAGGACCATACAGGCTCAAAAAAGTTTGGAAAGAAAAGACCATTTACATATTTCACGAGCCACCCTATTACAGTGTCTTGGAACCCAATTTAACGAGAAATCTTCTCCATGCTGAAGAAGAACCTTGATATCGCGAATAATCGTGGCCAAAACTTCTTCTGATGAGCACAACTTCATAATTGTTAGACAATCCCCTTCAAAAATAATTCTAGGCCAGCCCCATTGTAAACAAACTTGTATAGCCGCTCGGAGTGAAAGACCTTCAACGACCACGTGAATAACCATCTTGAAATAGCCAAGAGCCCAGACTAAGAACACATCCTTCATGATTTCTAGCAATGTAGCCACCCCCACATAATTTTGAAGATAAACTGAACGTTGCATCAACATTAACTTTGACAAAATCATTAGGAGGAAAACACCACTGAGGACTTTGAAGCGGAGTATGACGAGGAACAATGGATAACAATTTATTTTGTCTCTGGACTTTAGAAAATTCATGATAGTCAAAAATGGCCTTTTCAACCAGAGTTTGAGGATCCACCATTTTGGACGAGAAAATGAAATTGTTACTGTTCTTCCACAAATGCCAGCAAATGTATGCTGCTAGACTTGCGCATTCCATATAACAGTCACCATTCTTCCAGAGTTCAACCAAGGCAAGCCATCTCATCTACCAAATTGTCAAATTGGACTTTAAAAAATCCAACCGCAAATGCCTTAATTTCCATACCCTTTGAGCAAAACTACAGCAACATAAAAGATGGTCCATTGTTTCCTCTGCTAAACCACATAACTTAAACATAACCTCTGTTTTAAATTTTTTTTTTTTTTCAAGTTGTAATTGACAGCAATTTTTTCGTGGACACATTGCCATATAAAGAACTGCACTTTCCTGGTAGTTTGCAAACGCCAAATCTCTTTCCAATTTTTTTCCAACTTAGATGAATAGCTACAACCCTCCCCTGGTGGGGTAAAAGTATAATTTGACATTTTCAACACATCTAAGGCTAAAAAGTAAGCACTTTTGACTGAAAATTTCTCATCAGCAGTCAATCCTCATATCTTTTTGTCCTGAGCATCTTCAAAAGAGATGGGAATTTGGAGAATTCTTTCACCATCCAAAGGGGTAAACGAATTTAAAACCAAATCGCGCTTCCAACGTCTAGTTTTTCCCTCTATAAGATCTCCCACCAATTGAATATCATTACCAGAAGGAAGGGATGACATGTTGAAATTCTTTTTCCCTAGTAACCAATGATCTTTCCACACATTAACTGATTTACCATTTCCAATCTGCCATTTCATACCTTTCTTAATCACTTCTTTTGTAGCTGCCAAACTTCTCCATAACCATGAACATCCAGCATTACATGGAGAATTGATAAAATGACAATTGCGAAAATATTTCTCTTTAAAGATTTTAAAAAGCATGGAATCATCATCCACTTTAAGACGCCAAGCCAATTTCGCAAGCAATGTAACATTAAAAGCTTCTAGGTCATGAAATCCAAATCCACCCTCTTTTTTATGCTCACATAATTTCTTCCAACTCACCCAATGAATCTTCTTGGAATCAATCTTGCCTCCCCACCAAAATTTCATCATCATACTTTTCAGAAAATCCAGAATTGAGAGAGGAATCTTAAAGCACTGCATAGACTAATTAGGGAGAGCAGAGAAAACAGATTTCAGGAGAGTTTCATGCCATGCTTTAGACATATATTCCCCTTTAAGTGATTTAGCTTTTGCAGAGACCTTTTCTTTCAAGTAATTGAAAGTATCAGTTTTTGATTTCCTAATAATTAAAGGGAGGCCCAAATAACTGTTGATCCAATCGACATTTCAAATTCTCAAGATCCTTCTAAGATTGTCTCTTGTGTCTAAGGGTGTGTCGAACTAAAGAAAAAGCTAGATTTGTTAAAGTTGACCAATTGGCCTGTTAATAGACCATATCTTATGAGAATGTCCTTCAACGACTCTGCTTGCGATGAAATGGCTTGACAAAACAAAATGGCATCGTCGGCAAAAAGCAAATGAGAAATAGCAGAGCAACAACTTCCTAAGCTGCACCCTTGAATTTGTTTTTTCCTTTCTACTTCTTGTAAAAGAAGAGACAACCTTTTCGTGCAAAACAAAAACAGGTATGGAGAAATGGATCACCTTGCCTCAAGCCTCTTGATAGTTGAAAAACAAACCCACACTCCCCATTTATCTTTAAAGAGTATGAGACTGAACTGATGCATTCCCCAATAATCTTCACCCACTGATCTGCAAAGCCCATTTTGTTCATCATACAACATAAAAAGTTCTATTCAACACGATCATATGCCTTCGCCATATCAAGTTTTAGAGCTAGAAAATTAAATTTCCTTTTCTTGGTTTTAAGAACATGCAACATCTCATGAGCAATGGCAATATTATTGTGAATTAAGCGATTTGGAACAAAAGCCGTTTGATTTTCAGTGATGAGTGCGGGAGGAAATTTCTTCAACCGATGGCAAATGTTTTTGAAAAAATCTTATAAATAACATTACATAATGCAATGGGTCGAAAGTTGGCTACTTTTGTAGGGTGCCTAATTTTAGGAATCAACACAAGATTTGTGTGATTCAAGGATTTTAGCAAATAGCCAGTTCTAAGAAACGAATTAAAAACTGCAACCACATCCTCCTGGACCAGGTTCCAATTGGATTGAAAAAATAAAGGGGTAAGGCCATCAGGCCCGGGTGCTTTGAAAGCTCCCATGGATGCTAAAACTAAATAAAGTTCATCAGAAGTACCTGGCTTAAGGAGCTCCGAATTCATCGCTGCAGTCATCTTTCTTTCCACCAAGGACCAAAATTTAATATCATTAGCAATCGGAGTGGAGCTGTACAAGTCTTTGAAGTATGTTGTTGATATATTTCGAATGTCTTCCTTAGAGTCACACCAAATGTCCGATGCGTCTTCTAAATCCATAATGGTGTTTTTTGGCCGACGAATCTGGGCTTTTCTGTGAAAAAATCTAGTATTGTTATCTCCATGTGAAAGCCAATCGATTTGAGATTTCTGTTTCCAATAAAGTTCCTCATCTCTTCATGCTTCTCCAAGCTCCTTTTCTAATTGCCATAATTCCTCTCTGGTACCTTCTGCCCCTCTCTCCCTTAACATTTCCATTCTGTATTGAGAGGATCTGATTTGTTCTTTGGAATTTGGACGTTTAAGCACACTCCATTTCTTTAAATTTCATTTGCAATTACGTAGTTTCTCTTGCACAAAAAATTGTTTAGGACTAACTACTGGGGCCTCCCATGCTTCCTTCACAATTCTATTGTAGTCATCTAACTTAACCCATCTTGCATCGAAATGCCATTGTTTTGTGATTTTGGACAGGGTGCATTTAGACAGATGAATAAAGCACAGTGATCAGACCCCAAGACAAAAGTATGGGTTACAGAGCTATTTGGAAATTTAGAAAGCCAAGCTCGCGTACATAGAGCTCGATCAAGCCTTGCCACAATGAAACCATTTCGTTCTTTGTTATTTCGCCAGGCATACGGATACCCTTTATACCCCAAGTCATGGAGTGCACAATCTTTAATTAACTCTCTAAAATTCTTTAGCATCCAGTTCTTCTTACGTAATCCTCCAAAGTGCAGCAGTGCTCATCCGCATACAACATTGAATTAAAATCTCCTGCTATCAGCCAACTTGGACCCAACTGAAATTGCAAACTACAAATATAATTCCACTGAGATGCTCTCTCTCCTTCCGAGCATGAGGCATAAACCTCTGTGAAAAACCACGGGGACTCACCACAAGCGCCAATGACTTTGCATGTGATTTGGAACTCGGTGAAGTCAATTATGTTAATTTCTCACTCATTCGAAAAGAAAAGGGCGATTCCACCCGACCTTCCCGTGGATGGAACAACAAATATATCGTAAGAATCCAAAACTCGCTTCACCCTCATCATCTTATTTTCTGAATTCTTTGTTTCCAATAAGCATATTATAGGTGGAGAATGAAGGTTGATTAGCCTTCTCAACTGGGAAATTGTCACGGGGTTCCCGCACCCTGACAATTCCACACCAATACATTCATTGCTGGGGTTGGGGCCACTTTAGGCTGGCTTCCTTCACCTTTTCCAGAGATGATTGAATTAACGTGACAAAAAAAATTTCTTGCTGCATTGACCCGTCCATAAAAGAGTCACTAACCTCATTGTTTTCCTTCTAAAAGACATAAAGAATTAGGACAGGCAAAGAGAAAAAGAGAAAAACAAAAAGTTTAAGCAATTACCCCCTTAATGGCTCATACACATCCCTCCTATGGTCCTCCATACAATACAATTATTTCACAAAAAGTAGTGAAATTTCAACCGAAATAAATTTTGATTAGTTATCTTTACAAATTATAAAATGCCAATCAAAATTTATAAGTTAGACAATTCACTTTGGCTATGTTTGGACTAAGATTACATTGGAATTACCATGAATCCAATTCAAAATTCACTGTTTGGATAACTTTGAAATTCAAGTGTTTAAATTCCAATTTCAATTTTATTGTTTGGATAAATCATTAATTTGAGAATTAATTTAAAAATAATTAAATAGTGTGAACACATATGCATAAAGGTATGTATATATAAAATTATACGCATACATATATAATATATAAGCACATAAACTTGTATGGTTTTACACTTCTATAAAACTAACATATATACACATATATAGATATATAAACACTTAAATTATAGACATTTGTATATACCTACATGTTTTTAAGAGAAAGAAGTGTCTACCTTTTTTCTTCATTTTTGTTATAAAAAGAGACGCAACATTACATGGATATTTTTGTTATATAGTTTTTATATCATGCATTATATTTTATGCATTATAGAATTACATAAATTTCATTGGGCTATATATCCACTCTGAATTTGATACGCATTCGATATATTTTCAAAATAATTGGGACCAAAGAGCAACCAAAAACCATTCCATATGCATTTTGATTTTTAAAAGGCATGCCAATCAGCTAATTTAATTATCCTGCCTCAGGCACACCCAATCTGCAAATGATGTTCTTTTTAAGAAAGATGACCAAACAAGAGCTAGCAACCACCAACCTCATCAAAATGAAACAAAATACAACTAAAACTAAAACTAATATCCCCAACACATAACTTGAACAAAAGGCAAGGATGTAATGAATTACACCAAAATGCAGACTAAATAAACAAAGCAACTTCAAAATGATCAAAACTTGCATTTTTTTTTTTTTTTTTTTAAGCTATGGTAATGAGCAAAACAATTTCAAGCAGCAGTGATGTAATGAATTACACCAAAAGCTAATCAGCCAGGAATCCCAGCAACACAAAGCAGACGAGATGGAATGAACTTCAAGTACTCAAGCAGAGCTAATAACCATGTAAAAAACACTAATCCAAATTCTTTTCAAAAGAGAGAAGAAAAAAACCAAGTGAGATCAATGAAGAAAGTCAGAGCATCATTACAAACGAAGGCTCACAAAGTGATCAATATAAAAATTCCATTACAAGGTAAACCCAGAAAATTAAACCTATAATTTTAAAGCTTTTCCCTAATAATGGGCTTCTTGGAATCGGATGGGCTCCTTCACGGCCCAAGTCTCTTCAAAAAGTGATTGAGTAGTATGGTGTCTGATCTCATGATCTGCAAGGCAAGCCCACAACTGAAGAAATTATTGTACACCCTAATACACCGAATCACATCCTCGCCTTCAAAACCCTGAACCCTAGCTTCTTCTACCACTACTAGCCTCCCCCATTTTAACTCATCAAAACTAAATGCCCCCAAAAAAAACCCTAACCCTATCAACCTTAATACTCACTTAGGCAAAAGCCTGAAAACGAAGCAACGAACTCTCTCTCTCTCTGCCTCTCTCAGCCATGACCGACGTCGAGCTCTCTCGTTCCGAGAAAAAGAAGAAGAAGAGCAACAAATCCAAAGATGAGGCTCAACCACAAGACCAGTCACAGACCGACTTCGATTACCTGATCAAGCCCCAGAGCTTCACTCCCTCCGTCGACACCTCTCAGTGGCCGATCCTTCTCAAGAACTACGACCGCCTCAATGTACGCACCGGACACTACACTCCTCTTCCCTCCGGTTACTCCCCTCTCAAGCGTCCTCTCGCCGAGTACATCAGGTACGGTGTTCTCAATCTCGACAAACCCGCTAACCCTTCGTCTCACGAGGTCGTCGCTTGGATCAAACGGATCCTCCGGGTCGAGAAAACGGGTCACAGTGGTACCTTAGACCCGAAAGTCACTGGAAATCTCATCGTCTGTATCGACCGAGCCACCCGTCTTGTGAAATCGCAACAGGGTGCCGGAAAAGAGTATGTCTGTGTTGCCCGGTTGCATTCGGCGGTGCCGGAGGTCGCCAAGGTGGCTCGGGCGCTGGAGACTCTGACCGGGGCGGTGTTTCAGAGGCCGCCGTTGATTTCGGCGGTGAAGAGACAGCTTAGGATTAGGACTATATATGAGAGTAAGCTATTAGAGTATGACGCAGATAAGCATTTGGTTGTTTTCTGGATATCTTGTGAGGCGGGAACGTATGTGAGGACTTTGTGTGTTCATTTGGGGTTGATTCTTGGTGTTGGAGGGCATATGCAGGAGTTGCGTCGAGTGAGGTCTGGTATTATGGGGGAGAAGGATAACATGGTGACGATGCACGATGTGATGGATGCACAATGGGTTTATGATAATTACAGGGATGAGACTTATTTGAGGAGGGTAATAATGCCACTGGAAGTGCTTTTGACTAGTTATAAGAGGCTGGTGGTGAAGGATTCCGCTGTGAATGCGATCTGTTATGGTGCGAAATTGATGATTCCAGGGCTGTTGAGGTTTGAAAATGATATTGAGGTTGGGGAGGAGGTTGTGTTGATGACTACTAAGGGAGAGGCCATTGCATTGGGTATTGCAGAGATGACGACGGCGGTGATGGCCACTTGTGATCATGGGATTGTTGCGAAGATTAAGAGGGTGGTAATGGATAGGGATACTTATCCGAGGAAATGGGGGTTGGGACCGAGGGCTTCAATGAAGAAGAAGCTAATTGCAGAGGGGAAGTTGGATAAGCATGGAAAACCGACTGAGAAAACCCCCTCAGAATGGTCGAGGAATGTGGCTCTCCCGACAGGAGGGGATTCTGTGGTTGCGGGCCTCGCAGCTGTGACTGAACCAGTTTTGGTGCAGGTAGAGGAGGTTGAGAAGAAAAAGAAAAAGAAAGATAAGGAAAATGGAGAGGAAGGGCGTAAGCGCAAGTTGGATGAAGTTGGAGGTGGTCCTGCTCCAGATGGTGCTAAGAAAGCAAGGGTTGAAGTTGAGGGAGCTGAGGAGGTGATAGTGAAGGGTGAGGGAGAGGTTGTGGAAGTGAAGAAGAAAGAAAAGAAAAAGAAGAAGAAGAAAGAGGGTGATGAAGCTGTGCCTTCTGATGTGGAGACGCCTAAGAAGGAGAAGAAAAAGAAGGATAAAGAGAAGGAACAGTCTGGCTCATCAGATGAGGAGAAATCTGAAAAGAAGAAAAAGAAGAAGAAGAAGAAGAAGAGTAGTGAAGATGCAGTGAATGGTGATTCCTCTGTTTTTCCAACAGCTACTACAGGGAGTGATGATGACGCAAGCAAAAGTGAAAAGAAGAAGGAGAAGAAGAAAAAGAAGAGTAAGGATGCAGAACAGGAGTAATGAAGAGACTGGACTCTCAGCTTTGATGGGGATAATTTCTGTATGTGTTTTCATCTTATTATCTATTTTGGCTCATTTTCGGCACAACAATGAGTCTTCAGCTTTGTGTATTTGAATGGTTTGTTGAAGTTATTTTATATTGAGATCAGCTTTATATTTATTACTGGTCATGTCTTTTGTGATATTGATTGTATCTAGTGTAGGAATTCCTATAATCAGTAAGTTATTTTCTTTACCTTGGGTTTTTCTGTTTTAAGACATTAGAGATGTTTGCATGTTTCAATTGCTATTAAATCAGTCACTTTATTTTATTATCAACCACAACAATGTTTTATAATATTGAGATTCTCAGTAGATATGCAGTTAGTTTATCATTTGAATCTATATTATTTGTTTTATTTATCTTCAAATATTCTATTGTGTTTTTAGTAATGCAGTAGGATTGATTTTTCAAAAGTTCAAACCTTTTTTTAAGTTTGAACAAAAGAGGAATAACATTCTGTTAGTTGTTGGATTTGTATTCTTTAGTTTGTTTATATCAGCTCAGAAAAATCGTTTGAATTCTCAAAATTCACTGCATAATTATTGTGTACGACTCAATCCCGGTCTCCCCTGCCTCTTTATTTCCTGTACAACATCCACTGACCATTTCTGTCTTCCTAGCATGCTCAGTGTATGCATATTCTTGAATTACTCTCCAAGAAAAACCCCTACAGTTCTGTTAGTTTCTTCATTCATTTGCCATGATCTGAACTCTTCCTTTTGCTCTCCGTTGTATCATGGCTTGGAATCCTTCGAATATTATCTTCTAGGACCTTCAAGCAATGGCTAACACCACCGCTGCCTTATTTTTAGTGACCAATCATCTTAGATAGTTCTCCAAAAATGGGAGATCGGTGATGGTACTACAAACTTTAGGGTTGATAAAAAAACATTCCCTCGTTGAGGCTCCTCCCCGTTGTAGGATACATAGTTGAAAATTTTCTGAGACCTTCGGACTCTCTTTCAATCCTACAGCAGGCTATACATGGTTGTAGGATACAATACATGGTCGTGACCACCGCACCGAACTCGAAAAAAATTGTATGGAATTTTGCAGTGCAGAGATTTGATTTGCTCTTGAAAACTCTCCTTTTAAACGGTTTCTTTTTGCTGATTCTTTGCTTCTCCTGTCTGAGCTTGAGTGTGTGTTGGTGTATTATCGGTGCTAATTTTAAGTATCCAAGTTGATTTAATTGAACTGAGTTCTGTAGACAATTTTATATGTTTGTAATATGTTATGAATTTGAAATTTTATATCTTTAAAATACACTATGACTACGTAGTGTTTCAAAATTATGATTGAATTTCTGTTTTATATGTTTTTGCTGGTTATATAGTTCATTGGATGTTCTGTGTGATGGAGGCAATTGCTTAGGGCTGCCTGTACCCATTCCCATATTTGATTTTCATGGTGTGCATTCGTTACTAAGGAAAGTGTTGTGCATATATGTCATCTTCAATCTGGGTTCTACCCCTGTAGTTTTCTAAACAAGTTTGTGAATTTGTATTCGGATTTCGAACTTGTAATGAGATTTTTCATTTTTAAGAACTCCTGAATATATGCGAAAATCTTCTTAGAAAGGAGATTGATGCAGCTCTTTTGGTTCCTTTAAGTTGAATTCATCACATTTTAGTTAAAAAATGAAACTAGTGTTCCTCTTGCAAAAATATTCCATTTTTAAGAATTTCCAACTTACATTAGCCACTTGTGATAAGAGGGGGGAAAAAGGAAAGAAAAAAAACTGGTGTTCCTTTTAAATGTTCCCTACCATACTTGTTTTGGAATTAGTTAGTGTTGATCCATACTGTAGACTTAATTATGTTGCTTCAGAGGGAACATTTTTTAGATTTCATTATTTCAAATATGGCTTAGATTTGAGCATTTCACTTGAATACTCTGACTTATAGTGACACCAGTTCGTTCTTGATTTCCTATGACATAGTGCAATGTTGATATAGTGTAAGGGACAATGTCTCTAAACTAGTGAAGCTCATTGATCTTCCCAAATTCCTCAGAAAATTTCTCATAAATGTTACTAGTCTTTTAGATGCCACCATACAAAACTTGGACTTGCTGTAGTAAACAAAAATTAAAGATAGATTTAACTTTCAGACAAATTCACATCAAAAGGCAAGTAAAAACCTATAAATGAGAGAACTTCATAAAAATTCCAAGAAGGAAAAAGATGAATATTATTCAAGACCATTAGAGCAAACATCACAGAATAAACATATTGCCTCTAATAGCAAATACAGGTGCACCTGCAGGAAAACAGGAAACCCAAAATTATCTCCAATGGTATGCATAAACTCAAAACTGTTCCTTTTAGCATGTTTGTATGTACCTTGTGACAGAAATTCCCAACTAATGCATTTAGCTAGAAGAGCTACTGAAATTTATTCCTCAATTCCTGTGGGAGTCGTTATTGAATTATATCATTTGCTCATATTATGCAGTACCTTGTAGTAACAATTATCCAGCCAAAGTTTTCTTCTCTAATACTCCTAAGAGCACTAGGCACCAGTCAAGAAAATGGGCAACGTTAGCCTAGTTTCTAACGGTGTTGAATTGGAAATGTTCGTTAGTATATTTGAATTAGCACTTCCTCTTTGATTGTGTTCTGTAAGCCTAGTTTCTGTCTGGAGGTTTTCTTTTTCTTCTTCCATTGCCTTCGTTTTTAAATGTGTTTTCTATTATAATATTTTCAATTCGTTCATTGAAATCATAGCTTTTTAGATGCTTGAGTACTTATTAGTTGATTGAAAAAGGAAAAAAAATTGACGAAGAAATATCTAATTGTTGAAACTAGCTGCTTATTAGGTTTAATTTTCTGGGTTTACCTGGTAATGGAATTTTTATATTGATCATTTTGTGAGCCTTCAATTGTAATGATGCTCTGACTTTCTTCATTGACCTCACTTTTTTTTTTCTCCTCTCTTTTGAAAAGAATTTGGATTAGTGTTTTTTACATGGTTATTAGCTCTGCTTGAGTGCTTGAAGTTCATTCCATCTCGTCTGCTTTGTGTTGCTGGGATTCCTGGCTGATTAGCTTTTGGTGTAATTCATTACATCACTGCTGCTTGAAATTCTCTCCTATAATTTTTACTTGCCTGCCTTCCCTTTTGGTGACGCCGAAGATAAAGTCTTGGCCAGTCTTAGTGTTGCTTAGAATCTCTTTTGCCATTTTTTGTTCTGTTTTGCTCATTACCATAGCTTAAAATTTTTTTTTTTAAAAAAATGCAAGTTTTGATCATTTTGAAGTTGCTTTGTTTATTTAGTCTGCATTTACCTTTGTAGAAACAAATTGTTTCATCTTCTTTCCTTTCTTTTCAGATTTGAACCAGGCACAAATATTCCTGGCAGTAGATCTATTGAGGTGGGATCAAATGAAGTTTGAGACATTTTGCGACCTTCAAAAGACAACGGATAATGATACTGTTGGGGATATTAGTTTTAGTATTAGTTGTATTTTGTTTCATTTTGATGAGGTTGGTGGTTGCTAGCTCTTGTTTGCTCATCTTCCTTTAAAAGAACATCATTTGCAGATTGGGTGTGCCTGAGGCAGGATATTTAAATTAGCTGATTGGCATGCCTTTCAAAAATCAAAATGCATATGGAATGGTTTTTGGTTGCTCTTAGGTCCCAATTATTTTGAAAATATATTGAATGCGTATCAAATTCAGAGGTGGATATATAGCCCAATGAAATTTATGTAATTCTGTAATGCATATAATATATTGCATGATACAAAAACTATTATAACAAAAATATCCATGTAATGTTGCGTCTCTTTTTATAACAAAAAGAACAAAAAAAGGTAGACACTTTTTTCTCTTAAAAACATGTAGGTATATACAAATGTCTATGTGAGTGTTTATATATCTATATACGTGTATATATGGTAGTTTTATAGAAGTGTAAAACCATACAAGTGTGTTTGCTTATATGTTATTATATGTATGCATATAATTTTATATATACATACCTTTATGCATATTTGTTCACACTATTTAATTGAACACTTGAATTTCAAAGTTATCCAAACAGTGAATTTTGAATTGGATTCATAGTAATTCCAATGTAATCTTAATTCAAACATAGCCAAAGTGACTTGTCTAATTTATAAATCTTGATAGATTGGCATTTTATATTTGGAAAATGATAGGGTCACCGAATGATTTCTCTTCCCGAATATGACAAGTCAGATTGTTTAAAATATGAAATCTTTAATCAAATGCTAAAAGTTTGCTAACAATGTAAAAAAGGGCTGGCTTCTCAATTACCCGAGAAACTAAAAAAAATCCAAATTGAAGAGGAAGAGTATTTCCACGCAATCTCTTGGAAGAAAAATCCAATAATCTAGTTCTGTGCTGAAAGAGAAGAAAAACTCTATAATCTTGGTCAGCTCTCCCCACAAGATTAAATGTATGTTTTTACATTTTTGCAATCTATTTTTTAACTTATTTATATTGCCTTTTTTATTTATTTATTTATTTTGATTAAAGATTTTGAAAGAGAATTGTGTTCCGTTATAAAATCAAAGAAAACCAATTATAGTTTTCAGAGGCTCCTCTTTGTTTCATCTATTCTGCCGTTCTACAAAGCAATCCTTGTTACATCTATTCAACATAGCAATATATGAAGATAAATAATATTACTTCATTAGAGCTGTGATTTTGGAGGTTTGGGAAAGTTCAAATTTGGCCTACTAAAAGCTTCGTTAAGTATACGAGAATCATGAGCAGATCTCTCCCATCCAACCGAAACAAATGCGAATTTCATATCAAATGAGCAAGTAGCCATCACATTTTGTGTACAATCTTCTTTACGTCCATGATATGCAAGTTGTTGATCGACTGGAATCACTGCATCAATATGCGTTCCATCAATTGCACCAATGCAACCCTACAAATTTTTTTTTTTTATGAAGTTAACAATGAAATAATGTTAAAAATATATAATAAAATATAATAATATAATCAATTATGAAAGAAGTACATAAATTACCTTAAAATGATATGAATAGCAGTTCTATCTATCAATATGTATGGCTAATATTTAGGATTGTTGCGTATATGAATAGTGATATCATCAAACAAATGAGGCACAATAATTAACATTGAGAATGTTACTAGGGCTTTCAGAACTATATTAAAATGCCTACTAATAGTCTCACCAGAGTGTTGAAATCGTTCTTGTAGCATCCTATTTCTTTCATTATGGCCAATTGTCATAAGGAATATGGCCATTTGTTCCTCTACTGAAATTTCACGACTATCTTTTAATAGATCATTTCGTTTGAGCTCTTGACAAAGCCGCAAAAATACATGCTTTTCCATGTGAAATAACTCATGACAACGCTTATGATGTCCAGCTAATACTTCCATTACAATTGATGTCCTGTATAATTTGAATTTCTACATGGCTCTTTCACAATATAGGTGGTGTGGTAATTAGTCGAAACACAAACTGCAACACCTAGTAATGCATCTGCCACCATTTCATTAAATTTGTCATCAGATTGAAAATTGTTGTCCGAATCCATGCTTAACTGTCACAATGAACGTCCTTCATCAAAATCTATACAATATACAAATTATAAATAACAAATAATATATAAGAACATGTATCACACATTTAGAAAGTCTAAAATAAAGCATTTCCATTAATAAATAAAAATAAAAATAACAACCTCAAATAACCACTCCAGTATCTTAAAACTATCAATTTATAAATAAAATAAAAAAATTAATGATAAAAATTACGTAATGGTAATTTTGAAAATAAATAATAAATTTTTTCAAATAAAAAACTATGGATGGGATGTCTTAGAAGCCATGTTTCGATTTTGAAGTCAACTAACTCATGCTCTCTGAGTGCCACAAATAGTTCTCGTAGTTCTTTTTGTAAAAACATAGTGTCGCAACCAAACATGTAAAGGTCTCCTCCTTTTGGTATTTCTGTCATTTGGTTCAACAAGTCTATGCACTCCTTGATTGTGTTACTTCCGCCAGCACGGTTAGAATTTGCTGCCCTAGATTCAACTGCATTGCATATTCTCTCAAGCATGTTGTTCATATTAGTTGTCGGAGTCACTTTTCGACGCTTCTCAGGTGGCGGAATGAAATCCTCTATTTTTTACGTGTACCATCATTCTCCCTAACACCACCAGTTTCTTAATTATTATCATATTCCCTATGTTCTTCTTCATTATGAAATATAGTATCTACGTCCATCTCTTCTTGAGTATCATGTGTATCGTGCTCAATTCGACAAGGTCTAGCATTCTCTTTTAGTAAAGTTCCTTGTGAAGGTCCATAACCGAATTACCTGTTGCTATCCCATCTTTAAATAGAGCTGTTAATTGATAAGAGTGTTCAATTCCCTTCTCACGAAACTTAGCTGCATCTGGATTGACCTGTTAACAAAATAATTTTTATCATAACATCTAATTACAAAATAGTGCATGCATATTCATATAATTAAACAAAACAAAAAAAAACGTATATACCTGCAAATAATTAGCCCACCAATCGTCACTAGCCACGACTTTATCTTTTTCATAATCCCATCCAAGCCCAATCTCTTCCCTTTTCAGCTTATACCATATATTCACTCTTTGTACTATTCCAATGATTTTTCATCTGTTTTTTGTCATATTTTTTTTCCAGTTCTCCTTTGAAAGTTTTGGAGTACATAATTCCATCCTCTTTTTTATTTATTTATTTTTTATTTTTTGGAAAATAAAGCAACTGACATTAAAGGATTAAAAGATTACAAGGTTTGGGCCGCAGCCCATTGCCAATTAATTACAAAACAGGCCTTCTTGGGCATCAAGGGCATAGGCCCAAACAGAAATAACCTAACACTTATTAACTATCAAAATAACTGTTAATTGAAGGGGCTATCCTAACCATCTCCGGTGAAATATTGCAGCCGGCAATACGGCTAGATTGAGCTAGTCTGGAGGGCGGGGAAGTGGTCTTCAACAAGACGGAGGGAGATTCCATTCACAGAGTATAATCCTCGATGTTGCGCAGTCCTTAAGGAAGCCAAGTCTGAGAATTGAAGTGATAGTAGAAGTGATTTTAGCCAGAACAATTCTCTGCGAATACTTCTCTTTCCTGAAGATTCTGTTGTTACGCTTTTCCCATGTGTGGTAGACAATTGAAGAAAGACATATCTTCCTAACCAGATTTCAAGGAGTATTGATCTTCCACATGAAGCTTGCAAGCAAAACCAGGTTGCTCCAATTTGTGATCATTATTGAGAAGTGACATTTATCTTTTATGAATCTCTAAATTGGAGAAATGAAGGGACAGTTGAAGAAGATGTGGTCATGTGATTCCATTGATGTAGAGCATAGGACACAAAGATTGTGGTGCTTAGCCATCGCTTTGCTGTCAAATGTTGGCAGTCTAGATTGGACTGCCAACCACATATTGAATTTCATTCTAAGAATAATTGGGGATTTCCACACCAGATTATACCAAGGTACCATTTCAAAATTCCCAGCCAAGTGAGCAGCAATGGGATTGAAGTTATATTGCCCAGTAGAAGATGCAGCCCATACCTTCTTGTCAATGGTTGTTGAACATGGAGGCTGTAAATGTATTAACACAGGGATGATGGCTGTGAGTGGCTGTGGGAACGACCAAGAGGACCCTTTAATGAAGTTGTCAAGAGTGATGGTATCATTAAGACCATGATCTGTAAGAACATTTGTAGGGAATCTAGTGCAAAGAGGACCTCTGGAGCCCAATTGTCCTACCAAAATGAGGTATCAACTCCATTACCAACTTTATGTTTTATCAATAATCTTGCTGGATGTCTTAGCTGCAAAATTTTCCTCCAACTCCATGAGCATGAGTGTGGAATCTTTAGAGACCAAATGTTTCTAGATTTTAGAAGGTGTGAATTACACCATTTGATCCAAATTCTATCCAAACTTCTACATTGCAGGTCCCAAATTAGTCTCATAATGCCTGCTTTGTTTGCTTGCTCTAAATTTGGGATGCCTAAACCCCCTGTAGTCTTAGGTCTACACACCTTATGCCATGCAACTTTAGAACAAGTTGACTTCATCTCAACCCCTGACCATAGAAATCACCTGAAAATTCTATTGAGTTCATCAATGACTCCTTTGGGAAGAATAAAAATGCTGCTCTAGTAAATTTGAGTAGAGACTAACACAGCCTTGATCAATTATAGTCTGTCAGCATAAGAAAGGGACCTAGATGTCCAATGTGAAATCCTTTGAGTGATTTTGTTGATTAGCTTGCTGCAATGTGAGGCCTTCAAGGAGGTTGTGATGAGGGAAACTCCAAGGTATTTGACCGGTAAATTTGCTGCCCCAATGCCAAGAAGTGAGACAATGGCTTCTTGAGTGCGTTCCTCAACTCCAGAGAGAAAAACTGAACTTTTAATGAGGTTGAGGTTTACCTCATGACCAAACATAGAGCAAAAGTGGTCAAGGGCACATTTTAGCACAGACACAGATGTAATGTCTGTAATACCCCTAATTTTGTAAAGGATATAATTGGAATTTACATTTTTATTTTTGTGCATTTTAGGTGCTTACGTGACTATATGTGTTATGTGGTTTCTGTTTCGTGTTTAATTGGTTAATTG